TCCACAACCTTGCAGACTGCCTGGTGAAAGTGAAAGAGGGAGTTGACGACAGCCACATTCCTCATTTGGCCCGGGGTCGGTGAAGCAATGACCTGGGTCGCTTCACCGTCAGTGGATAGCTGGAGGTAAAAATCATGAATGAAATAAAAGCCACTGTTCATATTCAAACTCAAGATAATTTGCGTCTTTCTCTGATTATTTGACAGTTATACTTACCAGCTGTTCACACTTGGCAGAGTACAGTTTGACAGTCTTAGCCACATTGCGGGCAACCAATAAACTCAGGCCGGTATCCACGCTGGCAACGTTCAACTCACTGGAGACAAACCAAATATAATACAAAACTTTCATTTACATCGCATTTGATATTTAGGGCTGCGGTGTCCATTTTAAGACACGACAACCAAGCTTGGCTCAAATTTCAAGTAGACGTACTCAGAAGAAAACTTTTTCAGGAAAAAGAATCAGAGAACCGGTTAAAAGCAAAGCACATCACATTAAAGTTTGGCAGGTAATGTCCTTTCGCTGTTAGTCAAATGTTTCTGCACTCAGCTGTTTTTTCCCCCCGACTTAAGAAATTGTTCCCATGCATTATAACTAATGACAAAGCTATTTTCACAAAAGAGTGGCCCAATTAGTCGTTGAAATGAATGCTACTCTCAACATTTGGAAGTTTATAGACAAGTATTGAAAATGAAATGCTCACAGAATAAAATGTTTTTACAGGATGAGAACAAAAGATCGTATAGCGCCGCATAGCGGTGCAAGATGGGGAACTTCACCATGAATATGCGTAAAACGTTATCACACTGACGCCATTCTGGTTGGACTACGCCTGCGCAGTGCCTGTTAATGCGCAGGCGCAGGCGCCGCGACAGGCACGCACACACATGAACGTTCACACTCGAATGGCGCCCATGGTGATAACACCTTTATGGCTGAAATACCCATCTTGCGCCACTACGCGGCGCTATATAATCTTTGGTGAAAACCACTGCACTCTTTTCTGTTTGTATGCTTCTAAATGTCTGATCCAGGAATCTGTTGTAACTGCCACACAAAAATATGTACGTCACATGTATTTACAATCATTCCTGTGAATTTCTCGTGTACTTTTTTACCTTGCGATGGACTTGGCAATACTCTCCACCTCATCGTCAGAGGGTGGGCTGGACGCTCCGCTGGGAAACACCAGATTGATGGGGTCAAAGAGACGAGACAACGACCGTGTCAAGTAGGCATTCTCAAACGTAGATAGGGACTCCTTCAAGGCCTTCTCTGAACTAGATAACATCACCAGACAAAGAATTGACGTGCTGGATATATGTAGCCATTCAGAAACAAAAGTAGATAAAGTCTGGCAGGGTACCCTATGCTCATTTGTCTTGAACCTAGCATATTTGGTGGTTAGGTAGTTAAGACATCTAGTTGTGGGTTTGAGTATGAATTTCTATACATATCCCTACTAAGAGTCAATGAAAGCCATTGTTAGAAAAAGAAGTAACACCGACGGGTTTAACAGCTTGGCTTACCTGTATTCTTCCATCTCCTGCTCAGGAAATGTCTCTGCCTTGGGCGACGGCAGGTAGGCGGGGTCACCTCCAGCAGTGGGCGTAGCTAGACTGAATTGCTGAAGGCGTTTCCAGAGCTCGTTGAAGAGTCGCAGGAGTTTTGGGTATTCTCCTTCAAACGCTTGCTTCACGAATGTAGAGGCTGCAGGGATAGCATAAAAATGGGATGAAGTGATAAGGATACTGAATGACCACGGTTTGCTTGTGCTAACGTAAGTGTGTGCCTAAATGGAGCATAATCAATGTATGCATTATCATAGACATGTTGAGATAATGTTACAATTTTGGATGGCTGTTGTTTACCGAGAGCTGGGATCTTTGCACAAGTTTCTCTCATGCAAGAGCCCAAAGCCGGACCAAGAGAGGGTGCAATTTTCATAGCAACGGAGGCTCCTTTAGTGAGAACTGCCCTTCACTGCTTCAAAATCAACTATGAAACGCACACAATACAGTCATGACGCGACCAACAAAATGAACACTCCCACTTAACTGACGAGGAGGCGCTTCTGCTTAAGGTGCACTGGAGAAATGTAAACAGATGGCTGTCACTGTTCTGATAACAGTGTCTCTATAGCACAGATCACCGTAAACACTCCATGTTGAATATACGTCAAAGATTAAATCTGTTCAATTGGCTTTGGTTGGGGTGAATTACAGCACTGCCATGTTTGTTGCATGTAAATTAAGAGTATAATAAGAGAAAAAAAGGCACTCACCATTTGCTGTCCCGGCAAATTCTCCTTTCAGTGTGTCAGTGAGCGATTTCCAGAATGACTCCATGATGTCAGTCCGACCCTCCTGACCAAACATAAAAAACACACCCATCCGTCAAAGTTGTTCAAAACGAAAGGAAAAACACACATGACTCATCCTCCTCACAAAATGATGCAGAAACTCTACCAATGAAACCTTCAAAGCAGTACTTTAAGCAGGAGAATCTGACAGAGGCAAATAGTCTAAGGCTATCAGTCATCAGAGTGACTTGGAACGATTGCCGACCTTTTTCAGTTCATCCATGAAGCAGACATGAGTCACAGGATCCCTCTTCTTGGAGAGAACTTTCTGGAGATGTTGTACCTGACAACAGATAAACCATCATACAAGACCCTGACGGGTTGGTTGATGTGAGCAAGGCGCACATGAAATGTAATCTTGAACCCTCACCCTCCTCAATTACCCAAAATCTTTCAGGCGGTTTTGGAGGATTTTGGAGGATTGAGGATGAATGGCAAAAGTGCATGGCCGATTGCAAAGGATATCACGAGTTAAGGTTGTGGGTTAGACCTTGTGTTGTTCTTGCTCAGTCATGCATAGATTCAGCCCGATATTTCTTTTGAATCAACCACACAGCTCAAAAATGCCATTTGCACTGCCTCAACATAATGACAGAAATTGTCAGAGGATTTTGAAGGATTGAGGCAGTACGCACACCTCCAAGAATGGAGGATTTCGGAGGGTTGAGGGAGAATCCAATTTTTTCAACCCCAAAATTGGAGGATCCTGGAGGATTGAGGAGGATCCCTCACAAAAAGGGCCTGGGGGTTAGGGTTAATGTCAAGATCAGCCGTGTTTAAGGAATACATCTCATTTCATAAAACATGGTTCATCGTAGTTTCTTTTGTAATAGGAAGTGGTTAATACTTGTGGTGCATGAACTTCGCTCTTGAAGGGCAAGGCAATTCTCCTTGGCAAAGGGCATTTGTATTAAAAAATCAAGGGGGCCATTTCAAGAGGCATTGACGCAAAGACCAGCTGCATCAAGGCAATTGCCTCTGATGCCTTGGTGAAGTTCCTGCCCTGCCCTGTACACTCAATTTTCAAAGATCAATTAACAATTCTCCGGGAGTAGGTAGAATTTAAAAAAAAGTCTCACTCTAATTTGATCTGACAAAGGCTTTCTGGGCGTAGGTTGGCAAACTGACAGAGAAATATGCTTGGGGCAATATTTTTAATCTTACCTGTCCGCAGGTTGCATATATCTGATCCATCAGCTTTGACAGGTTTGTCCAGAGGGTTGCTCTGAAGGTAGCAGTGTTGCCGGTGGTAGGCATTGATGCCCGGCCTGGACCTCCTGCCAAGGACACCAGTCATAATCGATAGTTGATGTGTCTTCGAACAAAAAAATCCTGAATCTATCAAAAGCCACTGGTTTTGTAGATTTTGATAACTGCACAGCTTGATTTTTTTACCAGAGACTTGTCTTTTTTTAGGTATAAAGAATGTGCTGAGTTACCATGTTGGATTTGAATGATATGACAATATTAATTCCTAAATCCTGCAAAATCATTAAAAACCCTGGTAGATTTTGACAGACGTTGCAGTTTACAGATTTCTCTTGCTATGGAATCACTGAAGAGAAAAAAAAGGAATCAAATGAATAAAGAAGTATGACCAGGTTGAATCTGTTGACTGTACCACTACTTGATTTTCCCTGGTAACCTGATTGGCAATGGCCCAGACCAGATGGATCACCCTCTAAGCTCATGTTTGCTTTAAGACAAAGGCAGAGTCCTAATTACTTGGCTGCGGCTTGAAATCACACACGACTCCATGTGAAATAGCTGCAACCACTACCATAGACTTGTGTGTGATTTAAAGCCCCGGCTGAGTAAATTCGGACACGACCTAGGCTCAGTCAGCTTTAATACCTCTGCCGGGCTGGAACTGGGAATGAATCGGAGTCTGTACGTCCAGCGCTTCCCGGATGTTTTTCTTAACAGTCTCCTGGCTCTCATCCACGATGCGGTCCACTGTCTCATGGAGACAGCCCAGATTGTGGAAGACTTGAAGGGAGGTGGCCACCTGGGTCTGGTTCTGAGGAATTTGACAGCAATTCAAAGATGCTTGACTCTCGGAATTAATTGACGAGACAGTAATCCAGAGGCTCTCTTTATCTAGTTTGTCTTATGTTTTTCAAAATGTTGTTGACAATTTAAAGAATTATCACTTTGGGGCAATCTGCACTTATCCTCTTGCCCAATTTCTTGATAATTCTGCCATCAACCTTTCTTTCTTATTCACAGCTGTGAAAGACAGCCCCGAAAAAGCAAAGCAAAGTTATAGATTTACGACAGAATCAACCATTTGCACAAAGCAATCGGGTGATTATGCATATTGACCCATTGCGCCAACACCATTTCCCTGTCAGACATTCACTTCTAGGGTCTAGATCCCTTCACTGCAAGGGACTCAAATTAACGAGAAGTGGGTGCAATTTGGTCTCTTCTCTACCTGCGTCTCCGTCCCTTGATGGAGCATCTTTTGAGCTTGCCTCTCCACATCCCGCCTGGCTTTCCTGATAAACAGCGTATCCTGCTCAATCACTTCAATTCCCTTCAGATCAACTCCATGATACAGGAAGTCTGAGACATCAAGAGAAGAAGTCATCAACACTGATACCACGTTGATCTGCTGCATAAAACTGGCTGTTTGACCAATCGAATTTGAAAACTGGATGATGCTAATGTGAGCAAGTTTCGTATTTGTCCCGCGCTAGATCTTGAGGGGAATGGGGAAAAGGGAGGAGAGACGGGGAAATAGAAGGAAGTGGAGATGGAGAGAGAGATGGCGGAAGGGAAGTGGGTGAAGATAGGAAAAGGGGAGGGTCAGACAGCTCTTACCTAATTCATTCAAGCTCTGTGCTGCCTTGGTGATCTCTCTAGCTCCTCCTTGTAGCTGGCTATGAAGCCTTTTGCTAAGATACAGTATGCGGATAATCCGTCGCAGCAAGTCACAAGCCTCCTGGAGGCATAATTACATTCAATCAAATCATTATCAAATATTTCTTTCTCTTCTATTGACAAATACATGTGTACCTTTAATTTCTTTCATGACCTTGAAATATAATTTAGGGCCTCCGACCACCCAACACAAAAGAGCTACCACTGCCCTCAAGAATACGTAATGGTACATGTACATGTACTAGAATAGCATTTATAGAAATCTCTAGACATTTTATTAAATCAAGTTGATCAGACAGAGAGTCTGTTGCTTACCTGAAGTCTCCGTAGTTGGGCTGTTCGGGCAACTATTTTGTTATAAGGTTCGACAATTTTATTTTGAATCCTGAAAAAAAAGGATTTCTTAATTACTCTTCTTTTGCAATTACATTTTGGGTTACGATTCCCCTAAATTTTCCACTCAAATCTGTGAGCAGAAATCACACATTTCAAACAAACAGGTGTGAAAAAAAGGAACACAGGCTCCAGTCATGAGTGAACTAAAAGGCCCAAGGAAAAGATTGTTATTTACAAAACTCCTGGCATTTCTAACTTTTCTCCATTTTTTTTTTCAAAAGCTAAAACCGCCTTTCTTCATCATCTCAAATCTTCCAAAATGAATGGAAAGGAGTCTAACCTTTCCACAGCTGACTGGAGTGACTCAATCCTGGTATTCATCATCTGAAGAACGCCCTCTAGAGTTTCAATGCCAGTGGCCTGAGAAAGCAAGTCTTCATGGTGAGCTGAAACCTGTAGAGCCAAAAAAACCCCACTTTTCTATATCGAACAGTTCATATGGACATGCAGCACTTTTGAATGGTGCCATACCAGGGTGGCAGTTTGTGCATGCAAAGTGTGGACAATAATGAGTGAACCTGTTGGCTGCACTTACGTATCTGTTAACATTACTAACTGTGTTCATTGATTGGCTTCTCTTTGAGTATTAAGGTTAAGTATGATGTGCAAACAGTGTACAGTTTCCAAGATCCAGTTTCCTACTGGATGCTTGAGCTGCAAATCCTCCTCAACACAGCTATACACAATGGCTGGGCAAGAGAAAAGCCTGCCAAACATAAACATCTAACAGGTCAACTTCCCCAAGGTAAGAGTCTGAGGTTGCCAGTGGATCTAACAGGCTAGCTGAGAGTTTAGCTCTCATTGACTCAGAGAGTTTGCAGTTTGTTCTACTAAGCGTACCAATGACCCAGTGGAGCAATGTCCTATAAACTTGTACACCTGCAGCGCTTTGCTACGTATGACAGTGTTCTGGTTAAATTTTCATAATCAAAACAAGCCTGAATCTGTAAGGTTAAGCAAGAGAAGGAAGAATGCGGAGCTTAGCACCTGATCAAAAATGGAGCTTCGCAATCAAAGCTTAGCTAAAAATTCTGACATTTCCATTATTAGATGGCCAGGCTATTCACACAGCTCTGGCATGAGACTCTGGGTTTGATATCATGCAGCTGCTGCATAGTGCAGAGTTTTGTTGGGCATCAAAAATACCTGCTAAGCAGAAACAGATTGCCATCCAAACTGTCATACATTCCATACTCCCTGCAGCTGGTTCCCCTGATGGTTTCTGCTCGGCACATAATATGTGCTCAGAGTACAATTTCTATTTGGGCCCTGGTATCAATCAGCGGAGAATGAAATCCACAACCCATGCACTACAGGTTGGTTTGACCCACAATGCCCAGCTAGCACTCCTACCTGTGCATGTAGCTCCTTGTCCAACAGACTGATCCCCTCCGCGAGTTTCGACAGCTGCTCAGTGATGGCCATGCTCTGCATGACCTGGTTGGTGTGCTCTTGGACGTTGAAGTCATCTTGCAGAAACTCCTGTAATGTCTCTGAACAAAGGGCAGAATTGAAGATGTTATAAAACTTGAGAGAACTCAAAAGAAGGTAAAATGCAACATGTACATTGTCCAGGAGTATGTTCAGATGTTTTGAAGGAACATGTATACACTGGAGGTAAAGTTTAACAAGTCCTTGGTAAAACTAAGGAAAATAATTTGGGCAAACATGGGTACATAAATAATATCTAACATACTTGGGTCAAAACAAATTTGATATTCAATGAAGTGAGGTCATTCATGATTAAAAATAGAGGCCAGATCAATCATGGTCAGCGTCCATGACTGCCCTTATTCTGTCTTGCGGCTGGTGGCGCTGGGTGGCAGAACTTGAATTATTTTTAGGAACTTATAACGAGAAGGGATGATTTGGATTGTAAATGATATCCAATAATGCTAGCAACATGACTGGTGTGAAGTTGGTTCCATATTCTTCATTTAACATTAAATGTTCAGTGAGTGAAGGTGTTAACATTTGGCAGCACTTGGGATGCACACTCATCTGCCTGAAACATTGCTCCTTTTTCCTTCCTACAATGCCTTTCCCCCTTTGTGCAAAATCACCCATGCGGTCTACAACAGAAACGATGGGCATGATGGAGCGCCCTCATATTTGGTTAGACACTAGTTTGGACACTTAGACTGTTCACAACATGGACATGACGGACATTCTGGAACTTCTTCAGTGCTTTCTTATAATAGTAACAAAGGGAAGGCTTGCCCCATAGCGGTACATTAAAACAAGGTCACAACTAAGGCCGTAGGAAAGAGCAGACGTCACTGCATGTCATGCTAAGAATGCCCACCATCATGACCATACCGATTGACCATGAAATGCACGGCATTTGGCAATAAAGGGAAAGAGTTCCATACAGATGCCACTTGACACCCTGTCCCTGTGCACAGGTGCACAAACCTAGGCTATGGGACTGGTCTGAATAATTCTAAGTCAATGTTTTCTAAGTAAACAACATGGTTTTTTTCCCTCCTAAATTGAGCTTTTCTGGCATTTTTTGCTTTCTGATGGCAAGTAAATCATTGTAGGAAAGAATTACTAGCATCCGTGTATGGAACTCTTCCCTAATCCATGCCTGAACTTGAAGACCTAGGCCTGCCCAGGCTGGCCTAGCCCCACATGTAGAGCTGTAGTGGCTCTCTTTTACAATCTGTCTCTTTTCTGTTGCCACCACAGCCCTACTTCAACTTCAAGGCTTGTCTTAAATGCCTGAAATCCAAACTGCAGGATTGTCACAAACTTTGAATCCTAATATCTTCTGAAATGAGAAAGACTCAACAATTGTACTTACACCGGCGTATTCCTCAGAGTTTGATCTTTTATATGAGCACCCTAGTAAAGCTTTCAAGGCACCCGAGAGGTGCTATAGTTAGGTTATATCATACAAAACTGGTTCCCTGTCATACCTTGCATGACAGACAAACAAGGAAGGGGTGAAATTAAATTTGAATAACCTTCATGACCTTAAATATGCATGTCACTGTATCATGCTCCACACACATGCTGTGGGCATATTGTACACTAGCAAAGTGCGTGCGCAAATGAGCAGTGCCGTGACAACATGACGTATGCATCTTGGCACCTACTGGGTGCCTAGACTTCCGGGGCAAAAAGCGCTGCTTTTGTTTTTTAAAATGGCGCCGCCCATGGTCAGCATATGAATATTACCGGCCCAGGTATCAAGGTGCCATAATCGGAAAATATACAGTTTGGGAAAGCTTTAGGGTGTTCATATAGTCCAAACTCTGAGGAATATGCAGAAGTAGGCCTAAGTAAACATGTAAAATTGTCCAGTCATTCTCATTTTGGAATACAGGATTCAATGTTTGTGACAATCCAGCAGTTTCGAGTTCAGCCATTTAAGACATACTTGAAGTAGGCTGTGGTGGCGACAGATATGAGACAGATTGTAAAAGAGAGCCACCACAGTCCTACGTGTACGTGTGGGACTAATGCCGGCCAGACAGGCCTAGTCAAGCTTGTGCTCGTCAGCAAGTATAAGCCTAGTTCTACATGTTCTAAGAGTTTACAAAAACAATCCTCACCGTCGTCTTGCAACTTTTTTTGCAATTCAGGGTCCATCTCTACTACAGATTATACAGATGTGCACGTCATCAGTCTTATTTTCCAACAAAGAGAGTAATTATCGAATTATCTGAGACTTGGAAGACCACTTTCTGTTTATCGTCGCTGAGCGAGTAACGTGTCATATTATGGAATACAGCGCCACCAAGCGTTTACAAATATAGAAAACGGCCAACTCTTGCTAGGATTGAGAAAATGGTGGCGCCATTTATATTGAACGATAGCGCTGTACTGTAGTGACAGTAAAATGTAAATTCAGTGACACCGCAAACGAAACAGTGTGACTCTGAGGTTAGTTTTATCATTTATTTTCACCATTATTTCCTCATAATAACATCGTGTTGATTTATTCTAAGCAGCCAGTAGACACGAAAAAAGTGAGAATTAAAGTTAATCATTATGAGTGTACAAAACTCCAGCTTGTCCAGTTAGCTGACTCTGAATTGTCTGAAGTCCGAACCCTGCAACATTGATTGATGACTGTTCGTACGTAAGGACCAGTGGTAGGTCTAGGTGTCTTGACTGTTACTGTTGCATCATCTATCTGATCATGACATAAATGGCTGCTAAAATTAATTCTTTCTTATATAACATATATAATGGGAAAATTACAATACACCAGCTGACCGAAAAAGGTAAGAATTTTGCGGTGGATAATGTGAGTTACATGTAGACTGAATCAGTGTCAATTGTGCTGGTAAGCCTACAGCACTCTGCATACATTTTTCAGGCCTAGCATGTCGTTAACTGTTCCAGAGTCTTACCTCTCAGCTGTGGAATTTTCCTTTCAGTTCAGAGTCAGGAGGACTGACTTTTCTCTGAATGTGCGAATAAGCACTTCACCCAGCTGCCATGAGTACGAGACGAGCCAAGATTCGCCCCAGCATCAACCTTTCTGCCTCGCGCCGGAGCGTGACAACCCCAGCGTCGAAGGCCAAGGATCCAACTGCCTCCAAACCCGAGGCTGCCGAACCCAAGACAGGGCTCCGGTCATCTACCAAGCCAACCATACCCCAACCTTCCAAACCTCAGGTAGGCTCTTACCATCATTGAAAGAGAGGGCAGTTTTGAATATTAACTCAATTGAGGAGTTGCGTGGACAAGTTTAGCCCATATTGTGAACCTATTTTAAATATTCATATTTAATGTCAAATTTGAAACTAAATGTAGTAGTCCCCATTAACCTGACACAGTCTCTGTGTATTTTAACAGATTTCTAGCCTCCCGCGTGGCCCTAACAAACTGACGAAGAAAAGAGACCATCTCAACAAAAGTTATCCTCGAAAGGACCTGTTGTGTGCATGATTGTCATTCAAAGTTTAGCACTCTACTTTTGTGGAAAATTTTATTTGCCCTTCTTGTCATTGTTTGGGGTTTCAAGGTAAACAGTGTGCAGCGACACCAAGAAGAACCAAAAGTGCAGACGCAGCAGCAGGAAGAACTGAATCATGAAAAACCAAAGCAGGCAGACAAGCAGCAACAGCAGAAGTCACTGCAGCGACAGCGAGAGAAGGACCGAGAAAAACGCCAGCAAGACGACATTCAAGGAGAACCAGATCCGTTGCCATCAGAGGAGGACTCACTGGGCGCACTCACTCAACCCGCTCCAGTGTCGCCCACGAAACACCCGGCGAAACCCTCACTGAAGTCTACTCCCGAATCCCCGCTCAAGTCGTCTGCCACCGTCCGTCGCAAGCGCATCAATGCCGTCCCAAACCTGGGGCAGCCACGCTTGCGGTCCGGCCCGGCCCTGCCGGTCAAAACTGCAGCCAGGGCCAGTGTGACCCCAGAGAGGGAGGTTGAAGTAGAGAGGGGAGGAGCCAGGGGGAGAGTGGGCAGAGCAGGCGGCAGTAGGCCAGAGCCAGAAGCTGGTGAGATGGGACCTCCTTTACACCCACCTCCAGTGCAGCGAGTTATTAGTGCTTCAGCGTCAAGCACCCCTAGTACGTATCTTGGACAAAGCCATCCCTCTTCTGTAGTCCTGCTTTTATATATTCAGCCAACTCGTCACATTCTAAATGTTTCTCCAGTGAAGAGTACTGAAACAAGAGTTGCCTTTTCCAAATTGGCATGTCCAAAAGGCTTATCCTAACAAATGAGTAGCAATTCCCTAGACCCACTTTTGAGATAAAGTAAAATGCTTTTAAATGAAAAATGTAAATCATTTGTAAAACATTTTTTCACCGGCACTATTCCTTGTCCTCAGGATGTTCAATGTAGTGATACATCAAAGCAAAAAGTTCAGTTTTTTCTTTTTAATTATAAACTAAAACTAAAAGACTGAGAGCTACATGTCACATTACTGAGACAAGATGATCATCAGACTCATTTTGTGAGATCTAGTCACTTTTTCACCTCTACATTTCTGTTTTGCAGCACCTGACAAGGAGCCAACCAGAGAGGCCCCCAATCGCAGCGAAGAGCCATCGCTGCCCGCAACAGTCACCTCCCAGAGCAGCCATGCCCCTTCTTCCACAACCACGCCCCTCAGACCCACCCTTGCCCGGACCGACAGTGTCACAGAAAAGCACCCCGTGGGCTCAGAGAACATCTACGAAAAGAAACTTCGGGAGTTGAAAGACCGTATAGATTCTGAGGTGGGCAAATAGTTTAATGCACTGTTCTAGTAATCATAACTTAATTGAATTGAAGAAATGTCTGGCGTAAAACTTTCCTGGATTTTAAAAATCCTGCAACAAAAATGCTTATGAGTCAGTAGTGCACAGGAACTGAATTAGCATGGAGAGAAAGTTAATGGGAAACTTTCCTATTCTTAGTGAAACAACAAGAGCATTTAACCCTAAGAGAGCCATGGGGGCAGTATCACTGCAGTATCGTTGCGGTGCATCTTTTGTTTTCAAGCCAAGCCTCCCGGGGCTTTTCCCGTAATGATCATTTTGGCTGCAATTTTATGAAATTGGACTTGCCATTCTTGCAAAACAACTCTTTTTCCAAGACAGGTCGGCCATCTTTTCTCAGTGATGTGCTCCATGCGCCTATGAGCCTTTAAAGGATAAATGTCCATAACAACACAATTGCACATTGATTTGTTTTGAAAAATCACAAATGTATTCATAATAAATGCATTTTATACTCCAAGGAAAAGCCAAAACCTTGGAGGCATTCTACCTCCCTCCCCCAGTCTGTGCTGAACTGGCCCAGATTTTAAGTACATATAGGGATTGAAAGCCCAACTAATAGGCTGGTTGCTGTTAGCAGTCAATAGGCTGGTTGATATTAGCAGTCAGTAGACTGGTTGCTCTTAGCAGTCAATAGACTGGTTGCTTTTAGCAGTCAATAGGCTGGTTGCTGTTAGCAGTTAATGGGCTGGTTGCTGTTAGCAGTCAATAGGCTGGTTGCTGTTTGCAGTCAATAGGCTGGTTGCTGTTAGCAGTCAGTAGGCTGGTTGCTCTTAGCAGTCAATAGGCTGGTTGCTGTCAGCAGTCAGTAGGCTGGTTGCTGTCAGCAGTCAATAGGCTGGTTGCTGTTTGCAGTCAATGGGCTGGTTGCTCTTAACAGTCAATAGGCTGGTTGCTGTTAACAATCAATAGGCTGGTTGCTCTTACCAGTCAATAGGCTGGTTGCTCTTAACAGTCAACAGGCTGGGAGTAGCCCGCAGTTTCATGCAAGCAAAAAATCTGAACCCACTTCAAGAAATCAAACATCAATTTTCTGCTGTCCTTGAAATCGCCTCAGTGATCGCGTTCAAATTGTTTTTATTTTGTCAGACTCCGTCCCGACGGAGACGTCACTATGTCAAGCAGAAGGTACAACCTCCGGAACGCAGCAAGATGACCATGAGCGACCTGATTTACTTCAACCCCAAGACAAGCCCCATGAAGTATGTCTTTGGAGAATCCCTCCGATCATTCCAAATCCCCACTTTCTGATTCGGCATGATTTGCCAGATCAGGACTGTGTGGAATTCATCCAAGTTTTACTTTACATTGAGTTTGAATCTGCCAGTGGTTTTGCTATTGTTTCACTGGGTTTACAGTTCTGTAAATGTGTTTTCTTTTGTTCGTCTAACATTTTCGCAGAAATATTCCAGCCGGTAAAGAGAAGAAGTTTCCGCGAACCATCATGACAGAGAATGTTGCCAGTGCTAATAAGTGAGTACCTAGCATGAGCTGATATAAGAAATGTGTGCAGTCTTATTCCCCTAGCATGGTGTCTTGAACCTCGGTGCATTTATTGAATTCTCTGTTTTCACACAATGTGGAAAGTCTTGGATCCTTGCCCACTGTGTCATAAATGTGCTCCATATTTGAGAATAATTTTGTTCAGTGTGTAACATTTCAACCTTTTTCTTTGGCACCACAGTTCGGTCAATAGCAGCGCTCATAACTCTGAGAACGAGGAGGGTGATGAGGAAGAAGACATTGACCCCTTTGCTCCTCAGGTCAAGATTGGTCCTGATGGATCCATTATACTAGATAACACCAGGTGAGTAGGAAAAAAAAGAGAGAAACCGTTTATTATTATTCTTCCTGGGTGGCACAGGTGGCACCACTGTGGTCTTGGGATCGATTCCAAGCTCTGACCATGTGAGTAGAGTTCTTTGTTCTCTCCGGTGCCACGAGGACTTTTGTCCAGGTTCTGTGGCTTTCCTCCCAGTGCAGAAATCACCAATTACTATCTCTGGCTGCATTCCATGGCCAAATGCGGGTCGTTTTGAGGCTACCTTAGTTGCCTTTACATGCCTTCAGCTTGACCGCATTGTAGTTAGTATCCTTATTGTGCAGCCCATTTAAACATGAAATTGGTAGTTGCAAATGAAGACTTTATGATCACAATTATGGCATCTTGACAGGGCTGTTATTTTCGGTCGAAATTGAAACTACACCTTGGTCAAGCCCATTGCGGAATAATACCATCGCAACCGACAACCGCTGACTGTTCATGAGCGAATCCTGCCATATTTTACACGCTATTCTTATCTCTTCACCCGCAGTCTTGTGAAGGATGCCTCTCCAGCCAAGAACCTTCACTTGTCGGACAGCGACGTCGTGGAGGAGGAGTTCTCTCGCACGACTTACTCCAGCTTCCGAGACAGGAAGCACACCACAGCCTGGAGTCAAAAAGGTGGGTAGACTACGAGGACCGGCTGACTCCGTTCAGGTATCACCTGCCTTGGTTGTAGCACAGCCAGAATAGAATGTGATGCGTGGGAGAAATGAAAGCAAGAATCATCATTTTGACAAAAACCACTTTCTGTTTCAAGCATGGAGTTCATTTTACAATTCTCATGCAGTGATGTATGGCATTTATAGATTATTTATTGCATTTTACATCTTCAGATATCTGTTTTTAAGGATGAAACGGGTGATTAACATGAACAAGAGCAGTCATAGAAAAAATAGAAGTTGAAAGCTTTCGCGAGAAGATGTCCTTATCCAGAGTCCTGTTCACAACTAAAGTGCAGGAAAAAATTTTTTTTATAAGGAACAGAAATAAAAAAAAGGTACCCAGTTAACCGCTTCGTGCGGTTACAAGTTGTAAAACTGTGACTGTTATCGCATGCCAAAGCTGTTCCCTGTCTTGTTCTCTGTCACGTCCAGACACTGAGAAGTTCTACAGAGCTCTGAGTGCTGTCGGCACAGACTTCTCAATGATCAAGGCGATGTTCCCGAAGCGGACCAGACAGCAGATCAAGAACAAGTTCAAGAGAGAAGAGCGGTTGAACCGTCAGAGACTCGACAGAGCCATCAGTAAGTTGATGGTTTCGTTTCAAATGAGGACACTCGATTGAATGAAATGTGATTCCAACTATAAAAGGCAATCTTCAGGGGTAGATCGCAGTCACACTGGGATAGAAATAGGTGACTAAATAGTGGGGTGCTCCATGTTTTTTTTTTTTCAGGAAGAGAGAATTCTCAATTTTATTTCAAAATTAAATAGTCTCAGATAGTCTCTTCCAAATGTGGTGAATGAGGGGAGGGCTTGGAGTTATGATCCTGGGGTTTCCTGTCGGGGGCCTGGGCCGTGATAGCGCCGAGGCACCAGGTAATTCCGAACTCTGATAACGGAGTCTGAACGTGCTGACGTCAACTGGTTGATGGTACTGAAATGAGACTTGTCGTCCTGCATCATGATCCAGCACAGTTGAAGGAATACCAGGGGAGAGACTAGGGATAGCATAGGGTATCCTTGGTTGAAACAGCTGATCGCCAGCAAGGTCGCCCAAATGTTTACATGCTGTCATTGGGGTAACCAAGGCCATTTCAGCAATGCCTCTAAGCCTGTAAGTCAGAAGTAAATCACATGATCTTGTATCACTAGGGTGCAGGCCCAGTAGTCGACACTCCACTGCCTATTTATCAGATAGGCAACAAAATACCCAAGTCAGTATTTTAGTTTTCATAACCTACATTTTTCTTTTTTGGACTCAGGAGAGAGAAAACAATTGGATATGTCGCTGTTTGACAAGGAGCCGAGTTCTGACTCGGAACTAGAGAATCATGCGGAGAAGAAGAGTAACGAGAAGGGAAAGAGTAAATCAACCGGCAAGAGAAGAGGCAAGGGAAGAGGCAAGAACAAGGGAAAGATCAAAGGTACCGGTACACTGGGGTCAGGCCAGGTCAAAATATATTTCTGTTACCATCAATTCTTATTGGCAACCAATGCGAGAAATACATGTAGTATACACACTTTTCATTGAATGCAGCAAATTATTTACAGAGTACAGTGTTTCTCCATGTTCCGTTCATTTAGATAAAATTGGCGGGGACTGATTTATAATAAGAAGTATTTGAAGTGGAATGCATGACAGGGTACGGGGCCCACTTAAGTTCCCCTTCTCCCTCCATTTGGAGTGAAGGAGATCGATGGTTATCTAATTTGTCATCATTCTGCTACAAATGATCTCTCTCAATACACCCTTTCGTTGCTGCTTTCCGAGTTTCTTGTTATTATTTATGTCCTTGTGTTTAATACCCATGGCTAGATGTTGGCTCTAACAAAGAAAAACATTTAGTAGGACTGTGAGGTGTGGTCATGGTCCGAATCACTCGGCTGCGGCTTAGTATTACATGCAAGTCTGTGGTAATGTCTGCAGCCACTACCTATGGAGACATGTAATTCCAAACCGCAGCCAAGTGATCAAGGCATGGCCTAGCTCTATGCTTTCATTTAAAGAACAGCAAGAAAGTGAACAGTTCTGTGTGCGTACATCTTTGTAGATGAGGACGCAGAAAAGGATTCTGACGTGGAATTGATCAACGATGATGTGGATGCCAAAGCCGGTGGGGATGGGGATTCTAAAGATGTCAATGCTGGTGATGCAGAGGGAGAAATGGCCAAGGATGGAGCAGCCAGACAGAGCGATGGAAGCGAGGATGAGATCGACATGGAGACCATACTCAGCCAGCCAACGCGCTCTGGCAGACAGCCCAAGGTCAAGACGACATTCACTGTCGAGGAGCCCCAGAGGAGACGCAAAGGCCCATACAAAAGGAGCTCCATGGAGGACCCGAACTATGCCTCCAGGAGACTGGAGCGACTGAACCGCGAGCGCGAAATCATCCTTGCCAGAAGGAAGGCCACTAAAAGCAACTTCCCACCCTACACCTCAGGTGGAGCTGTGCCGTCACCTTCCTCAGGCCCTGCGAATCCTTCTCTCAGGCAGGTCTCTTTGGCAGGATTAAGACAAGTGGCAGGAGAAGGCAAAAACCAGGGCATTGAATTACCTGGGAGCAGGGGCATCAGCACCATAAACACACCCATGGGACGGTTTATCGTCTCCGTCCCCCAGCAGCCCTCCTCCCCCAGACCCGTCGGCTCTCCTACTCCAGAGGTACCTTCATCGGCAGCAGGTGCCGGAGTGGCTAAGAAAGTCTTGCGGACCCACATCTTTGTCATCTCTTCCCCAGACGGTACCCAGAACATCATCCAAGTCCCTGTGCAGCCTGACCCTACCTCACAGGACTCCAGCCAACCCCCAAGGAGTCCGCAACCCGCCCAGAATCTCTCGCAGGCCGGCCCAGCAGTTCATAATCCCCCGACTGCCCCTCGGATCATTGTCAGGACTCTCAGGCCGAATCCCCAGCAGACCGCTACAACGATGCGCCAGGTGGTCCTGCCGTCACCCCAGCAGCTCCCAGGATCATCGTCAATGAGCCAAACGGGAGACCAGGTGGCGAGTGCATCTCCTTTGAGTGGCCCTGCGGTTATTACGACTGCCCACAATCAAAGAGCACAGGTGGAGAGATCACCCCAACGGAGTCAGCATTATCACCTTGGAAAGCGTGGGAATGCTGACCCACTCACATTGCAAACACCAGGGTCTAATAAGGTCATCGTTATTTCACCTCATGCCCAGGTGCCGAGCAGAATCTCCGAAGCTGCGGTTGAAACTACTTGCAGTTCTAACTTTGGAGAAACTCGATCACTTGGAAATTCCATCAGCCCAAAAGTTATCACTCAAACTCACCACTCTGCTGAAACAGTGCAGCACCACGAACACAATCTGACCTCTGAATCCCACGAGAGAGTCAGTCACATGACCAGTAACATGGATACAGATTGGCTGTTACGAGATGAAACTGTCGGACATGAGGTCAACATTCCAACAAGTGACTTTGAGGAGGCGACAGAAACCGAAGAGGCTTTCATCCCTCCCGCATCCAACGTCGGGAGGCCACCCCTTATGAATATTGGAACGGACCAAGCGGTCATGGATCATGTCACTGAGGAGAATTTGACAGCACAGGACATTCTGGAGCAAATGACTTACGAAGAGGGGGTTGGAGGGGACGTGGGAGCCAATATGGAGGTAGCTATCAATGAGGAGATTATCACGCAGATTGCGAATACCATGGAGGTTGAATAAACAACACAAACTGACGTCTAGTTCCGCCCCGCTGCAAAGAAGTAGGAAACTCTGTATTCCATGGTGAATAACTTAGCACAAATAACTGGGCATTAGTCCCATTATCTACTTCATATATCACCTTAGTTGGTAGTAAGCTGCTTGGCAAGCAAAAGGTGCTGTCAGAATAATTCTACTGTAGCTGACATGTTCGCAGTTAGCAATGTGCACAGCTATGCACTGAGGCACTATAAAACCCCCAAATACTTTCTGATGGGGCCCCTTTAGTGCATGTTCAGCAGCATGCCAAAGTCTCAGGTAGATAGGTCTCTCTTGTAGGGAGGTGCTTGTGCAAGTACTTTTTGTGCACATTCATTTGAAAATCGCTGTCATACATGTAGTTTGATAACGATGAGACATTCCTGTACTTTCTATTGTATTCTAGATATTTAAGGCCCCGAGGGCCTTTCTGTCTTGCCAGTAGCTCTCAAGATTAATGATTCTGTTGTTCCAGTCTTTAGACCAAATATAGTTGTCCACTGACTTGCATTGCGAACGTATGACTGTCGATAATGATATTTTGACTTCAGTAAAAACCGTTAACAATTCCTAGAATAACTGTATTGCTTCCCAATGATAGATTAAAGTTATTTCAAGTCAAATCTGAAGCTTTAACATTGTGGATCTAAAGGTAGAGGTTACAAAGGTTGCAGGATCCCCACAGAATGTAGAGAAGGTCTTGGTCTTAAAAATCAGCCTTGTTACTTTTATCCATGCACATGCGGTTTGATGCAACAAGCAAATTAAGTTCAGTGCATACTTACGTTGAAAAGCACAGAATTGTGCAGAGAGACCTAATTATAGTTATAGTCAGTTATACTTTGATTAATTTTTGGACACGTTTGACACGACTTACATTTCTCTGCACTGAAAGTAATCTTCATTCAACTTGAATTCACAATGCACTCCTCCCATAACGGATGATCTGTAGGTGAATGTTCCCCACAAAATGCATTTATTTTGTACGTATTTAGTCGAGCTGACTATGAACTTGAGTAGTATTACTTTTAGAAGGCTTTATTTTGAAGTGGTCAGACTTTGTATTTTATTTTGTTGACCGCTGAAAAGAGTGAAATATTTGCTTGTTTTTAGTACAGTCTGCAGATTATAATTGCGCAACATTTTTCTTTGGCTAACTATATCTGAAGAATAAATCTAAGGTTGAATTTATCTGAGAAAACAGAATTAGTGACAAGGATTTTGTTAGTAAAAGTGTATGTTTGTTTTGGCAGACGAATGTGTCAAGTCAGTTTGTTTCAATATCGCAGTATTTTATTTCATTATTCCAATCATTGCATTCAGAAGTTTTCAAAAATTGTAATCACTAAAAATTTCACCAACCCTTACCCCATTCAGAATTAACAATGCATGAAACAATTGTCTTGGTATAAAATCTACAAATACATTTTATTTCGATTCAAAGTAAATCCTTTAAACTTCAAAAATAAACAGAAATGTGGCAAAACAAAATTTAATTACTAATTGAAATATTTCAATACGTGACTGATTTTGCACAAACGACATCCTGATTTTTCCACGTACTTTCAAATGAAATATTTTCAAAACAAGTAACTTGAGTTGACTGACCTGGTAAGCAATCAAAACAAATAGCAAACGTTCAAAAGATACCATTTGCATTTTAGAATTTTAATAATTAAAAACAATGGGAAATGATTGACAATAACAGTCGGCAGATGCTCGGAAGAAAATTATTTGAAAAAGTCGCAGAGGCATAAAATGAACACAACTGCTTTATTAGAGTGATGTGTTAGTGACATTATAATCTCCACTTCTGAGAAACTGCTGACAATCTCTAGAACTGAAACACGTCTATCCCACATCACCGACGTACTTCACCAAGGATGACCAAGCCATATGTTTTTTTCATTTACATTCCCCGCAGAGTTCCAATAAAGCAGCTCAGCACAGATTAGAGATGCATTTACTCAGTAGTCGGTTGTGTCCTTGGATGTTCATTTCACAGCAGCCCGGGGAATGCAAGCCTTAACACAAAGACTTATTTAAACCCCCCAGCGATTCACTGTTGGGCTCCGAAAAATGTTAAGTACCACTTTAGTACTCTTGGGGTCATTATTACAAAGAAAAAAAAGATAGTACTCGGGGCCATTATTATAAAGAAAAAAGATGAAACTGACACGTGTCCATGAGGGAATGACACTCCATTGTCAATCCGTTGTATCCATTTGTTGACACTGACGCACTTCTGCACTGGTTGTGGGTTCGAGTCCTAGCCCAGTCTGATAAAACTTGTCACTCCTGCTGGCTCTCCTTAATCACTGATGATCACAAATTGCTAAAAACAGTACACTCGTGGACATTTAAACCTGTTTTCAACAGCAGTTGCTCAGGCAGGACTCAACCCCTTTCAGAATTTTGAATTTTATAGGGAAAATTTTTTTAAAAATCGGTAACCACTATATCAAAAGTAGAAACAGAAAATACACTTGTAAGCATGAATTTCCTTGGAATTTTTCGAACAGCTCTTACAACTTTCTTAAATCTAGTTTTGGACAGGGGCAGGTCACATCAATATGGACTGCTGGCCTCAATATCATTATGGCCCCAAGGCTTGAGGAATATGTGAAAAACATTGAATTGTGGACTTGAATCAAGACCAAGCTACGGCCAAATGTCACGCTTGGATCATTTTCTTCTTCGGGTCATACACGTAGCGTTTGAATCGTAGACTGATTTTGATTGGCGGGAGTCTGGATGAAGCCTCGCTCCCATCATCAGCTGGTGTAGCCGCATCCCCGGCATCTTCTACGTGCGAACGGTGGAAAAAATGATGAGACATTGAGAAGCAAACTCAGTTTGGTAATGCAAACCTTGAGAAGTTGTGTCTTGATCAGCCTTGTCCAAATCAAATGGCTGTGGCTAGTGACACCACAGGAGTCTATACACACTGACTGTAGCCGCTAGCAAGCAGCTTCTATAGCCACAACTGCTGATTCTAGCCACAGCCAAATGATTTGGGCAAGGCATTTTATTCCTCCAACAATATCAGAGCACTGGTAAATGTTCCAGAGGTCAAAGGGACCATTTGAGTTAGTTCTGTCTCACTTGACTCGAGTTCAGTCTGATGTTTTGTCACCTACATGTACTATATAAAATTTGCACATTTCATTCTCCCAAAATTTTACATCTTCCACAGGGGTGTCAAAATCTTGAGATCTTTGGCAACGCTCACCTGCCTTGCTGGCCTTCTTTCCTTTCTTTTTGCCAGACGCTGAGAGTTGTTGCACAGTTTCTGGCCTCAAACCATCTGAGATGACAGAAAACAAAAGACAAAATAATCAGAATCTGAAATAGCATTAATAGATCTTAAATGTTTGATCAATCATTTATCATATACAAAGATCTCGGATCTCTTATATGGCCAAATGATCAATCCCAATTCACACTTCCTTTCTTTTACACATGCAAAATCTCTTCATGCCTAATATTATGTAGCGACATCTTCAATGCCATCACAGATTTCAAAATGACTTTTTTTTTTTTCCCTGTTTTTTTTGGGGGGGGTGTCAGTGGTGAAGCTGTTTCACTCTACTCACTAGGAATCCTGATCTTGAACTTCCCACTCTGACCGAATCCTCCTTCGATGACCCCCTCCTCCCCAGTGGAGAGCTCAACTTTGAGCCCAACAAATATCTGCAAGTTGGTTTCCTTCTTGAAGAGGGACCGGCCAATGATACTGTACTCATCCATCATCTATGGATGTACCAAATATGAAAAAAATTTCAGTCAATAATTAGGCAATCGTATCAAGAAATAACATTTTTTACTTCACCATTGTCCTTGCATGACACTACTCAAATGTTGGAGAAGTGAGGCACTTTTATCAACTAACTGAGAAAAAAATAGTGGCTGCACAAGACTTCTGAACCACATAATACTGTGTATAGTTCGTGAGTTTTTTTGAGGATCACGATATTTAGCTACATAATGTTTGAGGTATGAAGTTCACTTTGCCCATTGATTTGCAACAAACTCCTAACGTTTGGTACCCATTTTGTCTGACATTACAAAAGAATATCTGACAATTTTTTTAATTTCTAAATCTCTATTAAAGGTTAGAAACACATTGGCATTAGTCTCGTACTATCATGGAGGAAATCTTACTTTCAAGTACATAAAAAATGGAAGCAGTGTGAGATCTCAAATTTTTTCATTTGTAACTCATGCGTGAAATGTAAAATATGTTACTCAATCCTAATTCCACATGCATAGTTTCTGTTTATGTGTTTTTTAGATTGTTCATTTTAACAAAACTAAAGCAAGTGGCACAACGATCCAGCCTTTCATTTTGCCCACAATTTATATGGGTGGCCAAAGTTTGCAGAAAAATCACCCTTTGGTTGGTTTTCAATAAATACCTCAAATTCACTCAAAATGTACATTTCTCCCATTAATTCTACAGAAGGTTGTATTCTCATTTGGTATTCGATCAGCAATAGGTGGTATTCTGACAGCTGCTTGGGATTTTTAACACTTTGTGAGTTGATCTTTTATTTTTGTACGGATTACCAGCCATAGTTTTAGCAGCCACTTTAGCGTAGGAAAAAAAAAAAGAACTGATGTGAAAACACAGGAGGCACTAGTGGACTGCCTGTATGTCATCATCCCAGAAATGATGGGCCAAAAAAAACAGCCCTTTCAACTCTGTCCAACACAACACGCCCGTCCCTTGGTGAAAACATCAGTTGCAATTCTGCAGCATTCTCCAAACAGCGACATTAATATCAGTGAGATACTCAGAAAAAGTAAGACACTGGTCCCCAAAGATCTCATGATTGGAAGGACGGGGGATGGCAGGGTCGGCCATTTTGCTCAAGGCGCCAACAAACGAGCTTCCCATCGGAAGCCATAATTGAGGTTTTTTCCCTGGGCAAACAATATTTTGCACCTGTTCTGCTGGTGGCATACCACTTAAACTACAGCCGAGGACTGTTCCTTCTCCATATGAACCGATAAGTCAAAGGCCTCTGAGTTTTCAAAATCTCGTTTTTTTTAACTCGGTTGCTGGAACCGTCCTCACTTTTTGTTCACAATAATCACAGATTCAAACCAAGGGAGAATTGGCTGGCTTGTACCACCAAAATTAAACACCAAATCAACTGGAAACAACCCCCACATTTCTGCTTTTTCGTCCCGATAATTTTGTCCCTGGGTAGGATGAGTAGGAGATTAAAAGGGGTAATAAGTTGACATGACATCAAGAGAGATTCGGATATTAATTTATCAATACCCAGGAGGTATTGGGAAGGGATGTTGACAAGAAAGATCCGGTAGCCACTGTGAGTTGATAACTAACCAATTTGATTTATCCGTTTAATTACACAGACGTGCCCTGCCTTTGCACTATTATTTGGTCCCTAGTGGCTACAACTTGGAGGTTGTAACATTTGCAACTTTGCCGCAGACTGTGCAAGTTAAAGGGGTCAGCCTCCATAAGATCTCTTTTAAGTAGTCAGTCCAATCCAACAAAACCTCACAACAGTGCGCATACACTGTGCGTTTTACTTCACTTCTACTTCAAAGTCAAGGCATGTTGAGCTAGCTAAATCAAGGTGGTCCCAACAGCTAGTGTACAGTTGGTTTGCTTCCACAGGATCCAACAACAGGACCTTGAACAGTCTGCTGATGCCAACAGATGATCTAACTCCAGGACAGAGCGTGATAGCAGCGCTGTGAATGCAAGATGAAGCCGGCTGAATGAACAGGCCCTTACGGGCGTTTCACAATAGTGCGCCTCCAAGAGTTTGCAATGAGTTGACCAATCACAATGTGCAAAATCTGTCGACCCTTTCCTACCGCGCATTAGGTCGGCAGATTTCATGCATTGTGATTGGTCAACGCGTTGCAAACTCTTGGAGGCACACTATTGTGAATCGCCCACATTGGGTGGGCAGTTGCAGCAAAATGACACAAAAATAACTAGCCAGAAGGTGAATCCAGGACCGCAAGACTGTACTATGCCAGGCAGAGAATGAATAAGATGGAGAGGAACGGTGGGACGAAGTTATGGTGCATTTTAGGCGACATCTTCCAGGTATATGTTGTTAGATGGCACAAAACCAACGCAAGACTTCCAGTCTGAATTCAAGTCGCAAGCGATTCAAATGATCTACAACAAAAGCAATCCTTTGTCACTGTTCACCCCATTACTTGTGACTGGTCTTGTGACTGGTCTTGTGACTGGTCTTGTGAATGATATTGTGTCTGGTCTTGAGATGCCTTGAACTTCAACGCTGGTGAGCAAGAGTGAATTAATGTAAAAGTACGGAGTACAGAAGCCATAAACTTGTCCACCCCTCCCCTAACCCTGCATTTATGCCTGCATTCCTCAAGGTCTTCAACTTCTTGGCAACTGGATACACATGTACCCTGCGAAGTCTGACAACAGACGCACCAAACATGATGAGAACGCTTCACCCAAACTTACCCTGTCAACGACTCCCTCTCTCGATTTGTTCTTGTAGATTTTCAGCTGTGGAAGAATGGTATCTGCATAGTTCTACAAACCAAACATAGGGGTGAAAACAGAATTACCCAAAATGTCGGACAGTTCTCGACAATGCCTCGGATTCACACTAAGTCTCTGTCTTGCATTTAGTCCTGATCTCAATTTGCTATTATTTTTTGTCTTTGTATGTGTTGTTTGGTTTAGCTTGTCTGTATCCGTGGAAATTGTCAAGTAAACCAAACAAACAAAGAGGAATGCTTCTCAAGTACTCAATGCACGGGTGCAGTTTATCACCTTAACTTTCCCCATCCTTGTCGTAACCAGTCTCATCAATCTCCACAAGGCCTTGGCCAGCTCTTAATCCAGTCCGAAATAAGAATGTTTGCTTCACAGTTGTTTTGCTTTTAATAGTGATGAGTCTCACAGAGAAAATTTACCTTATCTGTTATATGATGAAGAAGTTGACCATGAAATGCAAGGCGGCATATATTGGAATGTAATCAATGGTTAGGGAAAATGTCGCCTTGTCAGGGCAAAAATACAAGCATGAAATCAGTTCCGATTTAACTTAGACCAAGATGCAATCCCACTTATTCACTTTTTTTTTTAAATAACAAATTAACAGATAAAAAAATCAAGCAGACTTGTGCGATTTCAGATAAACTTCAAAGTAATCTGTTCCCATAAGAACTAAGTCCAAGGATTCATCAATTTTCTTTGTTTCAAACAGACGCTTAAATGCACGTAAAAAAAACAAACCAAGCTCTCTACATACTGTACAAACTGGAAACCTCCTTTAGAGATATTTATATCACCAGCTTAAGTTATGCTCTTTCCAATTTATGCTTATTTCGTGGAAAAAGGGGGAAGTTGGGGAAAACCGTCAGTGCAGGTCAACTACCTTATGCTGAAACTAAAATTAATGCAAGAGATGCGAAAAAAAATCCATCAAAGTGTCACAGAGCTGCGTTCATTCTCCTTTATAATTCCATCATGACGACGTAATTCCAGCTGATCAATCAGCTGAAAGGACACAGGGTCTCCAACTTTCTAAACAACCCACCTATTTGCGTCTTTCTGACGTACTTCAATTCCCCACTGCGCCAAAAACCCACACAACATGCTAATTACCTCAACAAGAAAACCTGAAAGCAAACCATCTCATAGTCCTGCCAATTAGAGCAATTCCACACTACCCGGCTGAACAATACCCCCCAAAATAGTAAAACACAAATTGATTGTGTGGATTCATCAACAACTGACAAGGGGGGGGCAAGGTGATGACGCCAAAATCCCTGAAATGGAAATGTCCTTGCAGCTCTTTGCAAATTGAAAGCTCAGGGATTGATAGGCAACATTATTTGTATTCAAGTCAAGGGAATGAAGGAGCACAATGCCTTTAGTGATATAATTAAATTATCCACACTGCAGACTTAGACAGATGGCAAAACCCTTGGAGAGGGTGAGCGCGTACGTCCAAGCTAAATTACCCGATAACAATATAATCTCGGGAATTACCTTGTGCCCTACATAACAATTCCCAAGAAGCCTCAGACTGGGCAAAGCATCAACCATTAAAGTTCCATTCAGGGAGACGTACTGAACCTGCTCAGAATGACTCCCGTTCAAGCCCATCAAAAGGATTGTTCAGACATTACAATCCTGAATATGTGACAGTCTTTACCAGGATTTGTTATATATTTCATAAGAATCTTGAACAATTTTTTTCTTTGGGAGATATACACTTCTTAAACTTTTTAAGTCATGGTAAATTAAAACAGTCTTTCAGCACTGATTTCAAATATTGTTGTAATGTCTTAACATTCTACCACTCTGCTTTAAATAAATTTCAATTTCTTTTACTGGTGTTTTTTTTATTTCTCGGAGAACTGTTCATAAAACTTGGAGAACAATTTAATGAGAACCTACGAAAGTGAACAGCATTAGTTCGGATTTACACACACAAACAAAATGAAAATGAATCCCACGACAAATGACAAGGAACATCACAATTCTCTTGGCACCCAGAAAAGTCGTTGGAACAGGAGTGTCAACAAAAGTGTCATTCTTGTCAGAAAATTCATCAAGGGGGCCATAAGTAAAAAACCCAAATTACTACATGTATTTGTCCATGCTGAACAGCACCTTATATGTAGCCAGCTGGTATCCAGCTCCCCCCCCCCACACCATCCTATTAAGAGATTCCACCTCTGGCTATTCCAAAGGTTCCGTACCTCTGTAACACAGTGCATGTCTGCTTGTCTGTACACTGAATCTTTAACTTTACATGTTTACAATTCACTGTGTTCCCTCTGCGACTAACAGAGTACTTTATTGCCATCTGACACAAGCTTTCGAGCATGCCATGCCGAGCTTCATTTACGTCTGACACTGTCAATATTTGAATTCCAGATTTCCCCTGTCACATCTTCTCCTCAGCCACATCAGCCAAAGTGTAAACTCGTGACAATTCAACATGATTCTGTGGGCTTCTCTGCAATATCTGAACTCAGAGCTGTGATTGCTACACCTCAGAGGACAAGGGAATTGTGCTTCCTTTTGTTCTTGCGATATGGCACTTTCCCACATACTGGGCTCACACACTTTATTTTGAAGACCAGATTTGAACAAGACAATGTGTTTTGAGGACAGGAAGGCTCCTTCATTCCTCTTGTGTGTCTGTCCTCTATGGTAAGGCCATTCAAGATCCCAGAGTCTGAAAATTGACCTCTGCCAAGGGGCAGTCATCTTGGTTTTCTACCATTCAAAACATCACCAGACTGAGGCTGGGAGGAAAAATAGTCTGTTCCCTTTCACCAATATGTGAAGTTGTATCAATTTTGCCGACGGGTCTACGGGAAACAAGACAAACACGGCAGCATCATGATAAAGTTATGTAGCCTCTGAGTTTTGGCAGGGGTCAACCCAATATTTTTTCCATGGGTACGATCTTGCCGCGCCATGTTGGTTCCCACTATGTTTGTGTGATCTAACCCCTGGTACTGTATAATTTAAATACCTCACTATTTGGGATATTTAAATTTGGACTTTAATCAGTGTGTTTATGTGCGTCGAAGATTTAAGCATGCGTGACATGCAAGGGAATATGTGTGCACAAGTGTAAAGCTTTTGAAATACGCGCGCGATTGCCTTTTACGTTTATGTATATTCATCCTGAGTAACCAGTCAGCGTCATTTTCGCATTCTACATGACCAGGGGCTAGTGAAGGAATGCGCACGCAGCCCATGGACTCAAGGTTGTGGGTCAATCATCCAAATATCCATGCACATGTGAGCAGCAAAACGGGAATAGCAATATCCTCAAGGCAAAAAAATCAAACTGCATCAAAGGCCTGTACTGTCTTATGTAAGTGTATCATATGAGGCCAGTTTAGTTTGTCTGATATTTGAAGAAGTTTGACCATTTTGATCATAATTTTAACAGATCTAATGAAATAGAAACTTGAGGACAAACTTAGAGATCTCATACAAGGTATACCCCAAAATAGAATCCAATTGATCCGACAAAATTACACAAAAGGATATGAATATCTGTGTCCAACTTTGAGCCAATCACAAGGCACCTTGCTGGGCATGCAACTGGTTTCTCGAACTCTACCAAAGCCCACTGCTCATTGGCTGATGGCACAGCAGGCTGATGATTCTCCTTATCTTCTGTTGTTGGATTGGTTGATTTGGACAGTGGGCTGAGCAGTTCCTCTTGAAAGATATACTCTTGTTCAAAGCTGAACTCTGTTTTCAGAACAAAAACCAGAGATAATTTTACACATACTCTGACATATCAATAACTTGTTCTTTCATGTTTTTACAGTAGCCAAAAAGATTCAGCAATAATACAATCAACCATGATATCATCGTATTCACATAGAGAAATAAAACAGCCAAAATCACAATAAGCTGCACAGTTAAACGGTTCCACATAGACATGTAGGTGTCTGCATCAGCTAGCTGGAGGTCATAGGTTTGACCCCTGCTAAGGTGCATTTCTCTTTTCGTTTTTATGCACCTAACGAAGCCACAGGGCTAAATACGCAACATGTACGTCCACAAAATAAATATGCAGTGTAAATCCTGGTACGAAAATAGCTCTGACCTTTTTAAATATTTGATGTGGCATTATCCTCCCTCTGCCTTCAAAACATCAAGCAGCGATAAAACCAAACTAATGAGGCAAATTAAAATTTCACACATGTATGCAGGCAACATTTAAGAGAGAAGGTTGATTCAAAACATGACAGGTGTCCTCTCCATAAAAATACATGTACCCTAAATTACATTTTAACTAATAACATTTTAACTAATTATAACAAGTTTAATTTTCACAGAGCTCCCCTTTTATGCAACTTTACAAGCTCTTTTCATAATCAATCAAGAGCAACTGAAGGCCATAAATAGCTAATTCCTGCACGTTAAAATTTCAAAGCTCTGTCACCATCACTTGTCATCTTGTCCTACTTCAACCGTGCCTTTCCTGGATTTCCAGCTAATGCATCACCTGTAGCGAGTGAGTCTCTCCTAAGCCTAGCTGGCAGGCACTCACCTTGGTCCGACGACGGCCCCTCGACTCCATCTTTCGGGGCTAAGCCAAAGAAGAAGACCCGTCCCATTACCGTCTCATGCCCCATCGTCACTGCCAATCAAAGACACAAGGATGCACTCGGTCAGGATTATTGGCACAGCATGGCCGGAAATGTGCAACAGGCCGGAGGAGGGGGGGTGCACAGAGGGAATAAGCTAAGAATGAGCTAAAGCCATGTCCAAAAGTTACGACGACGGTGTCTAGAGATAGCATACAATAAAACCATTTCTTGTATTAGCACTTGTAGCGACTTTCTATGGACACCTGTTCAATCTTCTTCTTCCAGGTGGTGCGCCAACTTCATAAACTTGAAGACTCGGGCACATTGATGGATAGGCACTTCATGGATGGAGTGCATTATAGAAAGAATAGCCTACTAGTTTATCATTGGATACCCATTTGGTAGTATGTGCTTAAACTCTAAGTGGCTACGAGCCAAAAGGAGTCCCAAGAGTACTGGACATGGTGTTCGATTCTTAGGTTTTAACTATGGTTGTTGGTGATGCGGCCATGATGGCGTTGTAGTATTACACCATTACAAAGACATGACAATGACATACGTATCAGGTAAAACATCAAAATGACAACCAGCAGACAATAAAAAGGATAAAATATCTACCAAACCCATACAAGTAGGTAAAAAAAAAGACAAGTGAAGCTTGATAAAAGCTGGATGCGATTAAAAACTGTAATTCCGAGTAGTTTAGCTGCTTTTACACTGAACCTACGGCCAGGGATCTATATACAAACTGTTTGCAAACTGTCCAACAGTTCATAAACTTTAAGCCCTCAGAGCAGTCGATAGGGAATCCTAGAAGGGTCTGAAGAGGCTGCCCAAATGATCCTACATATGTACATGCTGGCTGAATGCACCCAACCCTCCACAGCTTCATCATGTGAACAAAAAGACAGCTTTATTGGATTACCTCAGTATTGTGTGCCGAGAGAGTCATCACAACCATTCTTGGTGGCTTGGACCATGGCCATTAAGATGAAATAAGGCTGGTAGGCCTTAACATCGGGGTACTTTCTAACAAGAGCTTAGTTACATGACATATGAAACTAAACAGCCTTATTTTCCAGTGTAATGGTCAATAAAAGAGGAAGATATCGATGATTACTCATTTTTGTGCCAGAGTCTGCCTCAGGGAAATGAGGAATTGTAAATGTCCTTCCTGTGGGTGCAGTTGATCTTTTTTGTTATCAACAGTATATGGAGGGCCAAGTGATCTCTTTGCAGTTCTCCATGAAAGGCAACTTTGTTCTCAAGCATTACCCCTCAAGCTATGGGCCTATTGATGACCAATTGCCTGTGATCAAATAGGACAATTATAAAGGGAAAATGTTCCCTTTGAACCACCCAAAAGTTCCCATCCATCTAGAGAATGGTAGAGGGGTAAGCAATGATGGTTGGATGGTTTCCTAACCATTTGTACATGTACATGTATGTTGACTTCGTGCCTGAGACTTGTCCAGATTTCTAGGGTAACTTACAGGTATTGACATATTCGGTCACCATCTTTTGACACTGGCCAGCCTATGTGTACATACATGTACTGCTAATACGGGCGATTCACAATAGTGCACCTCCAAGAGTTTGCAACACGTTGGCCAATCACTATGCGCAAAATCTGTCAACCCAATGTGCACTTGCAATGTACATGTACATGTATTTATTCATTCAAAACTGCACTCCAAAATGAACTGTAGAAAAATGGTTTCCATCAAATGATCTCACTCTGACACTCACTACTCGCTGTCTGACCATGTAAAATATGTTTAATATGAGAGATTTGAATAGCTACTGTAACTTGAATGGCACATCCCAAGATGACCCTAGTTTAATTCTCAAATTCTTGTTTTCAAGATTATGACTCCAAACTCAAAAAAAATCCTTCCTCCCCAGGGTGAAGAAAAAAATGCTTGCAAATGCGACTAAGTGCTCAGCCAACTTGAACAGCAAATCCAAGATCATTTCTTTAAATGTTAATCCATTAATATGCCGCATTTTTGGTTTCCATTTCAAGGATTACACCAGCCATTTGACTTTAGCCAATTCTCAATGCCAACCCCCTAACTGGTAAAATCCTGCTTTCTGAGCTGATTATAAGGAGTGCATGCTCAAAGCTTAAAGGCTCAGGGCAGGGGATAGGTTAACGTCCTAGCGACTCTGACAGCAGTACAAGGAGGTCTCATTTTGAATTACGTGTTCTTTTCCATTCGCATTAATTTGTGTTGCTTAGGCCTTGGGCAATCACTTCAGTAGAAATGGAGTTTCCATGCCAACAAGATCACATGACATTGATCTTACTCTGAGAATTAATCCCTAATGAGAAGTGACGGAGAGAAATGCCATGCTTTGCAACTCTATGGATAATCCTACAAGTCATCATTACTTTTATCAAAATGCCCAGCCACTGTCATTTGTCTTTATTACAATAGTCCCTCCCTGACACTTATACTCAATTCAGGTAATTTTTCCACAGCCTGTATATACATGTATCAAGTCGACTGTGACATCTGATACACTTCACTGTTTAAGCATCAAGTGTTCTCAGGAAGAGGACTAGAATAAAGATGTTACCTGGTATCAACAAGCATTGAAAATATACATGTACCATAAGGCCTCAAAGTCAAACATACACCATCTGATAATACTCATCCAGAATTCTGACCAAATGCTTGCCTAAATAGTAGTACCATTTGAAAATCTACACATTCTTACAATCCACAAAATTGGAAGAAAGAAAATTGTATGTGGTCCAACCTAAAAAACAAACAAACAAACAAACAAACAAAAAAGAATCAAGTCACCAGACCTTCTTTTGAAATAAAGGCCTTCAGCAGAATCAAAGACTATTAAACTATGCTAATCAATGGGAAACATTTTTTTCCCCAACTGGAAGGGGGGGGCAATGGCAATTTGTTTCTGATATCACTCTCCATTTTTCATCCCTGAAAGAACCATTAATCTTAAAAGGAAGGTACCTGTTTCTCCTTTGAAGTGCTTACACAATGTTTTAATTCCTTAACAAAGAAACAAAAATCCAGAAAAATTGGCAACATGTCCCGGAGGCCAGGGAAACCCTAAATCCTACTGGAATACACTGATGAGATATACGTGTAGTCACAAATAGTAAATTGAAAATCAGAAAAAAAACCTTGAGAGTGTAATTGCATGGACACTATCCTTAAGGCCAAGCAATACATGTATCTTGGGACACTGCTCCTCATTAATTTGAATCAATTCTACCAATGTAAGGCAGACTAAAAAAAAATCTGAGATTCATTGCCACCAAATATGGGTATACCACAGGAGAATTACAGCATTACATGATGAGATCCACCAGGTCTCGTAGTAATTAGCCCACTCTAAGAAACCAATTAGACTTGTAATCCTCCCGGAGTTGTTGGTGTTCAACATGTGAGTAATGAGGGTGCTGCACGTGAAACGCTGTTTCCAGCATTCCTATTTGGCTTGAAAGCTTTTAGTGGAGATGACCTATCGGCCATATTTAGGTCATTGATTTAATCAGAGCTCTCACTTGGTATAGAAATGCCTGGTTGAACGTGTGTCACAAAGAAGTTAGGTTTGTGGAAATGTGTGCGTTTTACATCACAGGCTAAATAAATGTACTCCATTCAACAGTTCCTTTGTGAAGTTCCTATGTCCAGAAGTCTTATGGTCTACAAGAGTAAGTACATGTACTGTACCAGTTATTACAACAGAAATTTTGTTAACAGGTTAAGGCAAAATGGCCACTCAAGATACATGTATGTGTGAAGGGCTGCAAAATACAAATGAGAAGACTGTAGCGTGTCCTGTCTATGGGCTCTGACGCTGACAAGAACTTCTCGGTCAGGCTCAAATCTCCGTTCCGGGCAAAACTGCTCTGTTTATTTTCACGAAAGCAAAAGGGCTGTCTGACACACACAGCTCCAGACACGAGGCATCTAGCCGCGGACTGCGCAGGTGCAAGGCGGGAAAGCTGCAGGCCGTTCGCATACCAGTGGGGGCAGCCCGCTAGCTCCATGTGGGTCCGAGCTGGTGCCCCCACCAGCCCAACCCGCCGGCGCTACAAGACACTCACATTTTCAGAATACTGCAGACAACGTTCTTCGTAAAGGACACCACCAAGATGACAAAAGTACAAAATGTGGGTCTGGTGTTTGCCTCTGGGAAAATTGGCGTTCATCTTGGTGAAACTACATGTACACTCTATTACTGAAGAGTTAAACTTAAGAATTATCACCACCAGTACGGTTTACATGTACATATATGTGTCAATTTTTACTGGATGTAAAAGCATGGGTACACTGAGCAGAAGCATACCCCCCCGAGACATGGTTGCCAAATTTCATTTTGTTTTTGTTTGTTTGTTTGCTTGTTTTGTTTTTTTGCTTTTATTTCTTTCAGGGGGGGATTGAGATTCTTTATCAACCAAAAAATTGAAGAGTTATTTTTTGGGGGAAAAAATTGTTGTGCCCCCTCCCCAGACCTACAACCGAGATACACCACTGGGGCAGAGAAAACAGTTGTTGGCTTGTGCTGGAATCCATGCAAGAATCCGAGATAAATCCAGATGTAAATGGAATGAATCCATAAATGAATTAGTAACTAATGAATCCATAAATAAATGAATCCATGACTAAAAGGAATCCACAGTTCCCTGCCCTTGCTGAATTTTAATCACTTGTTTCAAGAGCAGGAAGGAAAATTCCGGGCGGAAGTACACAAAGTAGTTTCCCTCCATCTGGGCATTCCTTATCAATATAAATTAGAGCCATCTCTCTGATCTTCGTTTTAGACCTTTTATAGTTTAGGGAAAGGCATGAGCTTTAAGAAGTGAGTGTTTAATATACAATGCCTTCTGGAGGTTGTTGATACCCAGTCTCTCTTCTACATTTTGGCTACGTCTCACACGTCACGTTGGGACGACGAAGTGACCGCTTGGAAAACAATAATACTGTGGGGCAGGATAAAGGATTCCTGAGGTGGAAGATGACAGGGTCAAAGATCTAAAAGCCTGTGTCTTGTTTGAGCTATAAATGCTCTAGCTGCATTGCCTTTCATGGACAAGTATTGTTGAGGTCAACAAGCGTTCAGTAATGACAGGATCAAACCAGCCAACCAACCGACCATGAACAGTTTGGAGGGGCTTGGGGATGCTTTATATCCTTCAAAACAGACTCAGTATGCGTTACAAATGAGCACACAATCTCACTGCGGGGAGAATAATAAACAGAAACAAATTTACCTGTCCATCTGATAAGGTGTGATGATCTGAGAAACAGACACAGTGATGACTGTCGTCATTAGAAAGGCAGCCCACTCCCGTTTTTCCTCCGAGCATGTATGCCAGCGATTGGATCACCTGATTAAACCTAATGAAGCACTGTGTCCCGCAGGACAAAGAATGATAGCAATGTCGGTATACTCTCTGGGGGGAGGGCGAGGTGTCTCAATGTTCTAGGCGGAGGCTGTACTTCACTAATTAATGGATCTCATTTCTTCCAATGAGCTGGCCAAGGTGACTGAATACAAGCACTAATGACGGCACTTGATACAGCATGCTAATAATGAATCGTGAATTTCAACAAAAATACATGAAGATGCTTGGCTGTTTGTGAGAATTCCTCAAACTAGCAAGAGTTTTTTTTGACAAACAAGAAACTTCTGATCTTCTCCAAACATGATCATCATGTCATTATTGACAACAAAAGAAAATCAAACCTCGTTTTCTCAGACGTGACGCTCACATGTATATTTCTGAAGTCAGCTTGTTGAGAGCATGTGCATCCACACTGTTCTGAATACGGTCCACACTGTGTGGACATTTCCTGCTTAAAATTGCCGTGTACAAGTGCACTAGTGCTTGTGGGTGCAATATTTAACAACATTTTAGCTTCTGTTCATAGAGGTGTCTCCGTACATCATCTGTAGATGAGCTCAATATCATGGGGGGACGAAAAAAATAGGGATGACAACTGCTTCATAAAAGTGATACGGTTGTCTTGACTGATTGTGGCAATCTCGAAGTCCACCTGATGTAAGAGTCGTGATTAGGTCTCCTTACAAAATGAAAATAGATGTCAGTGGGAGAGAAATTGCTGCAAGCTAGCTGACTTTCATGATGACCACTGACAGCAAACTGTGAACACTTGAAAATTTTATTAAATCTGGCAAGATTCTACATGTATGTTATTTACGCGAGACCTGCGGGGGTAGGGCCTTGGAATTTGTCTACACTTGAGCAAATTAAGCTCAACTGGGGCCATGTCTATGGAAAGGCATCATGTCAATGACATATGCCAAGAGCCACAGGGTTCACAATATTTAAATGATGGGTTTGGTCCAATAAAACTTTATTCCCACATTCAAGATATGGTATAAACCCTTGTGCAAGTGGGGGTACTGATAAACTGTATATGTAAATCCCCTCCCCCTATCCCATCCCCCCCACACACAATTGTCTCGGCCCTACGGATGATTGCTACACAACACAATTAAATTTAATGTCAACTTTCGGCAAACAAGAAACAGCACACCCGAAGCACCAAACACAACAATGATCTCCTGAAATGTCAAGTTGTGAACACAGATAGGGAGTACTTATAGAATTTGCATGGACAAAGTTCAGTGTCCAACCAAATTGCACTCTCTATTTACTAATTACAGCATAAACCAAAATGAGATAAACCAAAATGTTCAGGCCTTATACATGCTAAGAGTTGCATACATGTCAAATCTGTCCCTGAGCTAGCAAGACTGAAAAGAAGAAATGAGAACCACAACACGGCCACCTCGTCAAAGCCAACCAATCCCCCTCCTCCCCAGGGATATGATATACTATGTCAATATTTCAACTGCACTTCCCACAAGATACAAATCTCGCCTTCTCTAATCCTTCCTCTGAGCGAGTCTAGACTTTCAGGAAGTGAAAGTACTCCTAATCGTAAAGAAAATACACGGCCGGCATCCGCGACCGGTCAACCAGGTGCAAAGGAAGAAACGATGACTGATAAAGTAGAGTTCAATGGAATGGTTACTATGGAGCGGAGGATTACTTAAAAAAGAAACTTGTATCTGCTAATACTTCAGTTTCTAATTTGGGCTATGTTTAGATTTTGTATCCTTGAAAAAAAAGGTTGATAGAGCTGAATTAAATTACACATACATGTGTCAACAAAATTTGTAGGCACAATGCAGGAGTGTCAATCCATGCAGTTTTGATATTATGGACTGCCATTAGACCTACAAAGTATGCCAGACTTTCAGAAACAATAGAATACCATTGAGAACAATCTCCTGCCTTGAATGTCTGCCAGAAGAAAACTTGTTTAGGATAAAGTAAAACAACGAGCAAATACACGTACAGTCTGAGAAGCACAGCAGCCACGCACATAGACGGAATGGCTTCAGTAAAGATGAGGCAAGCTCTTGCTGGAAAATATCAGAGGATAATTGTGCTGGCTTCATCTCTATTCTAGCTACCAGGTTTGCTTTTCAAACTTGAGGATTTTGAGCCTAATGTACAGGTACAAGTACACATGCTTATATGTGATGGGAGAAATTGAATTTGAATCGTTCAAGGTTTTAAAATAAAAAATAAGGCCAAAATGAAATTACATATCAAAAACATATGTCAACTGCCACAGTTTTCCTTCTACTCCGCAAATGAAGTAAGGACCCCAAAAACTGCACAATTAACCCTAACCCCCTTGGGTGTGTAAAATCATATTGAAATCGGAAGACTTGGAACTGTTAGGGATAGCAACATATATACAAAGTCAATCTTACCATGGAACTTGGCCTTTGTTGAACATGCACCTTTGAAGTAAGGGATCTTTTTCACGGCTATGATACCAGCTAATAGAAGACAGAGACAATTGCTTTTTATTAGTTAATTTAAGCCTGCCATTAGCTGAATGATTTGGACAAAAACTACCCAGGTAGTCTTAATATCCATAGTGTGAAAAACTTGAGTGTGGAAAAAAAGAAGGCCGTTTTGCCAATGCATAGTTCTAAACCCAATGTACACGCTCCGGTACTTGAGTATACGGGTGACAAATTTCTGGAACATTTTTATATTTGCAGAGGGGGGACAATTTAAGAACTTATTTTGGACTTTTTGCTCAGTTCTGGTAGATTCTCTGGAAATATAATTAATCTAGGGGACGTTTTTTTTTCAGGGGCCAAACTCTTTTAGTTGTTTTTGTTGTTGGGAGGATTAACAACTCCACTTAACCCCCGTAGAATGGCAAATAATTTACAAAATGTCACAAATCATGTCTGGATTTACATGTGGGTAATTCCAGAAATTAGGTGTCCATTTTTTTGTGTCCCTGTCACATCTGTCATATGATTTTGTAAGTTCAGAACACATTTTCTAATTTAAAAGAGTGACGAATTAATGCAAATTACCTGCCAAACAAATAGTAGTTGTTTGAAATCAATCCCAATGATATTTCCATGTCAAATATCAAAGGTCAGATGTAACAGGAACATGAAAATGTCACACTTTTGGACCCCTAATTTCTGGAATTACACATGTACAGGAGGGGCTTTTTAAAAGTAACCATTCTACTAATTTTGCTCACCAAAAACTGTGGGCAGAGTTGAAGGGGTGCACACCAAGCCTCTCTCCAGCTGCTTTGGGTCAAACTGGGTGACACACACCCCGACACGGTCCCCCTGGGCTGCAGACTGCACCGGATGTCTGAACATCTGCATGGACTTGACTTTGCGAGTTATCTTGAGGGCCGGGATCTCGACAGTCTGGTTTTAACCAAAAGATGGACGGAAGAAAAAAAAGCTCATTCTACATCAACGGAGAATGCATAGGTACAGGTACAAATACCATGTAGACAATGAACCACTGGTGTCTATAAAACTGAACGAGGTGAAAAAAACAATGAACCACTGGTGTCTATGAAAACTGAACGGGGTGAAAAAACATGAAGGCACGGAAACCCAATTCTGTCATCTCGATTCCCCATGTCACGTGCAGTGTGATTTCATGTGCAGCGCAATCCTCCCGTTTTTTTCTTCAAAAGATGACAAGCCGAAAGCAAAAATGGAAAATAAATCTTTCACAATGGACATGGATTCTTATTACCAACTCGGCTTATGAATGCACATTGCTGTGTGAAACTCTGCAGTTTGGGCAATTAAAAGTGGTGGAATCGCAGCTTACAGTCAAATAGGCCAACTGGTGCGTGGAAACCTGTCCGGGTCTTACAGAGGATTGAGTGGAAACAGTTGAAGAAGGGGCAACGATAAGTCTAAGTTCCTTTTTGAAATGCACAGTGGATTGAAGCAACAAATGTTAAGCACCCTCGTCAATTAAAACGCCTTCTTGAGAAAGCAGAAGAATGTGAAAGCTGCATTAGAAAATTTGGCCAAATGCTTAGTAGTATTGTAATTATATATGTATCATGGGTAGCGGCAGAGAGCTAAATTGTCTTCCATGAGGATACGACCAAAGTTTTCTGTGATAGGAATTGAAATGGCTTTCTTCAACATTTCACACTGGACAATGTGGGAACATGCAGAGAATTTCTGTAACTTGCAAAGGGGGGGAACAATTTTAGACAAGTCCTGAGAGATCAGCATGCAGCAGTGAATGACATCTATGATCACCTCAACACTTGAGAGATTCCCAATGTGTTTGTGGAAAGGCTTGAACTACCATACTCAGTGGTGTTTGAGTGTGTGCAGAGCCCTCAAGGAACCAAATCATGTGTCAAGGCGAGGAGTTGGTGCACCATGGCATTGCCTCGGAGTGTAATAAAGTGAAAAGTAAAGACATCTTGCACAAATGACAACAGTGGTCAGCCTTTTTTAAAGTCCAACTTTGTAAAGGACTGCGGTCGTGGTATTGTCATTTTAACAGGTCAAAATTTATAGCACTCCTGGGACTTGGACAAGTTTGTTATGAAATAACTCTGTCTGAAAATGGTCGTAAACCTCAACATGAATCAAATCAGTCTTGGTTTATTGCTCAATCAACGTCACGGATTCAGCACTCCAGAAATAAGTGTTACGCACCGATTACCACGCATGTTTTCCTCTCTGCTTCCACAGATGCAAGTCACTCAACTTTGATTCCGTCCCATTTGTCACTTACGTCATTGACAGCAACTCTGCCGCTAAGCATGGTGCCCGTCATCACGGTCCCCTGACCCCGGATTGAGAAGCAGTGATCAACGGCATACAGCATGGGACCTGTGGCGTCCCGACAGGGCAGGTAAGCCTGCCGCTTCAATTCCTGAGAGGGATACAGAAATGGTTAGCCCATTATTCAAGGAATCAAATATTCAGCCCTTTTTTAGGCTATAATTAGCCAGAGACCAGGAGGTGAACATCCTTGAATATCCTCCAACCATCGGGAATCTGTGGGTGGAATATGGGTGACTACTTCACAGCGTTTGATCTGACCCTCGCCTGAGGTGGGAGAGGTTCTTTCTCTTCCCCAATCAATTATGAATACAGCAGGTGCATATAATGCAGCTGCACTGCAGGCCAAACAGAGTTATGGTTTATTTCCTGCAAATTTTGTCACTTACCCAAAAGGTTAAAAATGAATACAATCCTTCTCTTCAACTCCCTGAGGGGTGCAAGTACAGCTCTGACATAAACCAAATACATGTGCATTATCTTCATGTACATGTATGTGGTTAACATATTTCATTTCTAACTTGGAGCTGATTATAAAAGCACACTACAAGATCAGACTTACCAGGATACTATATGAAAAATATACAGTATGTACAAAGGAAAATCCTTTGCTGTCTTGCACACAGCTTCTAACAAATGAATTAAATTGAGCAAACTTCATTATATTTGTGTATTCTGCTGTAAACCGTCTATCTCAACCAATAATTTAGTTTTTTAGTTTATTTTAAACATCATTCGCAACAGTTATTTCAATTTTGCTCCAGTTATAAAAGGGTGTCAGTGGAGCATCTCTACATGTGGTATGGGCCACATTTTTTCTCTCTTAAACAATGCCAGTCTCCAGGACATACAAGACTGCAAGCGGCTGATAACCCCATCTGAAGATAAATTTTCCCCAAGAGGGGGGGGGGGAAAGCAAGTCCTTCTTTTGAAGTGACAAAGGCATTGTCCAATGTGCCCCCCGGGGACCACAGCATCAACGGTGATGACGTGCATGCAGGCAGGACAGGGGTGCAACCACTGAAAATGTTGTCTGTATTGCATTACATGCTGCACCTGTCCACGGCACCGGACCATTCTGGCGAACACAATGCAACAAGTTCACACAACCTCCCTCTCTATTCAAATGCCAAGCTCGCTCTGTCCAGATCTGACGCACTAGAGATCTTTGGGATAAATTCAAGAACGTGAGGATGCTCGGCAAATAAGCAAGGGAAGCTAATTCGCTTTTTCAAAAATATTCCATATCAGTACGTGTCTTGAGTCAGCTCCTACCTATGTGAGGTATTCACTTTCTGTGATCCATTTCAGTATTTTTAGAAGCCAATAACACAGTAAAAGAAAGTACACCCTTTCTCTATAATACAGGACAAAATTGGCACTGACAAAAATAAACTCATAATGGTTGCTCACCCCCAAAGCATAGAATTGGATAAAGATACTGGGACAAAACCAAACAATTCTCTTCACATGCATGTACCATACAAAAAATACAGAACACGATCAGATTCAAATGTGAAAGTTTGAACACACACACCAACTTGGTGATTACACTGACTTACATGTATACTGAGAATTTAAATGTTAAAGGGGATGGGCCACGTAGGGTTAAATTGATGTTATATGATAGTTTTCAACAGCCTTATGTACAGTAAGTTGGATTCAACCTTCTTTTATGTCATTAAATCAGCAAAAAATTGGCATTTTCTGTGTGCTTTTTCAGTCTCCGTCTGGGCTCTTCGCAAAAATTTATTGAAATCAGTCAATGAGGGCAGCAGACAACTCTTGGCAAAAATTTGACGTCATAGGAGGGACTCGACTTTCCAGACCAGAATGCATAGTTCTGGCAAGAAAGTTTATTGGTCCATGTAAGAATAATAATACTCTGATCTCCTGTGCGTAGTCGGGTACGTAACTCGTACTTGTCAAGTCAACCACATTTGGTCTTGTTTCCTATGCCCTTCTCAGGGCACAGCTGTTGGACAACTAACTTGACGTGTTGCATTCATTTTGTTTCACATCGCGTTGTACACGTGTAATAATTTCTATTGTGAATTTCGAAAGAATGGCGATAAACAGTGTTGTCAGTGGCAGTTTTATAGATTCCCAAGCGACTTTTCACACCAGCACTTGCTGGTATAGATTTATGGACAACACACGATCAGCTTTCCCAGTAGGCCCTAAAGACTAATCCCAACCCAACGTTTCACATCACCAGGTTTTGTCGACAATAAAACATGTATGTTTCACTTTAAAACAGGAAAAAGCATCAAACACTGGAATTTTCGTCGCTTGAGTCTGACATGATGGCTGATAACGTTTACACTACAGCACTGCGTACATGTCAACGCGTCATTGCGTAACAGTAAACAGTCGCCGAAGAAAAGACTCCGTCTATGATGTCACGATTCTTGGGAATTTCTTCAGACAACTTTCGGTGCCCAATGGCTGTTGTTTAGCTTTTGCTCCAAGAGGGGAGTGAAATAGGGTCGTGAAAATTATAATTTCCAACATACTTTCGCGCATTTGTAAATTATGCAGATGTGTTTTCTTGTTATATGTATGTTTGTTTTATGTGTTGATGAATCTTTTACAAGAAATCTTCCCAGCACCGGCCATCCCCTTTAATGAACTGCATAGGATAGCAGTGAATCATGTTTTTCAATGTTTTTTCAAACAAAAGTAAATTGGTTCATCCATGCTTGGTTGATTCCCCATTTGTTTGTTTGTCCTGTCCATTCGTCATTTTGCCTTTGAGAAAGATTCTGCTAGGATCGAAACATCAGGCCTTCCAAATTTTGTGAAAAGTAAATTCAAACATATCTAGCAGCCCATGCCACACACATTCTTTCAGTAATGCAGATGACGGAGCAACTATGAAATACTTTAAAGGCCATTCATTCCTATCCACAGACCATCCCTTTGGCAATCATTTGAGCGACAACAACTGCCCCTGACCAATACTTCACGAAGGTACTTGCACTTCAATGGGCCTTGCAAGTGAATGACAGAGCAGGGATAACACTGGCATCAGCACACCGATACCGTGTACTTTGTGAAATACATGTACCAGTACATTTTAAAATGTCCACACCACCTGGCCCTATTCCCAAGGCCACAGACCTCATCTTACCTCAATTACCTAACCTCAGTTAAATCACCTCCCTTAACCTCAATCACCTCATATCAATTGACTCACCTTACCTCAACCATCTCACCTCAATTACCTCATCTCGTTCACCTTGCCTAACCTCAATTACCTCTTCTCAATTACCTTACCTCAATCACCTCACATCAATTGCCTCACCTTACCTCCATCACTCACTTCAGTTCAATCTTCTAACTCACCTCAATTACCTTGCCTCAGCTCAATCACCCACCTCATTTCAATCACCCCACTTCACCCAAATCCCCTCACCTCATCAACTTGCCTCAACTCAATCACCTCATTTCAGTTACCTCGTCTCTGGCTCCCTTCACCTCAATCAACCTTGTCCCACCTAAATCACCTCACCTCAGCTCAATCACTTCACTTCACCTCAATCATCTCACCTCAAGAATCTTGCCCTCACCTCAATCAGGGTCTCCACACCCTGAGCCTCGGTGTCAGGGCTGTCTGGTCCACCAGGCTTGGCTGCTACCGCGATGATGGGGCAATCTGCAAATTTGGTGTTCTCCAGAGTCTTCAGCATCCTTTTTGTCATCTGTGTGGCAGCAATCATAGACTTTGTGAAAGACCTTTCTTGGTGGCAAACGTCACCAGGCAGCTTACACATACATGTATCTGGTATCAAAATCACTGTTTTTGCAACTTAAGTTTTGGCCTGGTCTTCTCAGCCTAAGTTTACATTTGTTGCCACACTTCTAAAATAAGACTGGTGCCATGACACCTAGACGGTAAAATTAGAAACGTTTTCAAGAACTCCATACTGGTCCTTAGAGAATTGCGTTCGAACATCAATTTATTATTTTGAAATTGAGATAAGTTACAAAGTAGCAGTTTGCAGTCGACCCAGCTACGATATGTAAAATACGACAAATATATGGAGGATGTACCCTAGTTTCTTCTGACATAACAAATGGCCTGCAAATTTAATACACATGGTAGCTGGTTTTTAAGAAAACCACATCCATGATCATTCTTTAACCTGGATCATGCCCTCAATATTAAAACAGAAATGGATAAAGAATGTGTCAACTGTATCACATGCTGTCACATGGAGACTGTACATCTGTGACAAAAATTAGGTTTCATGCAGGGAATCGCGTTCTTTCTGAAGGAGCTAATCGCTTAAAGAGGGAACTGGCAGTGGGGAACAGCGGTTACCTGACAAAAGCTTTCGTCTCTTCAGCATCAGGCTCAAGTTTTTGAAGCATTTGTTTTCTTGGCGAGGTATTAAGCTCTTGATTTTCAGGATTTGGCTCAGCATTCCTGCTTGTCACCATCTTGCACATACACATGTGTACAGAAACATCAAAGTCTGGGGTTCCAAGCCAAAATTTTGGCTTTGTAGGTTACCAGAGTAAGGCCATGTCAATTATAAATTTACCTGTTCTGCCTATGGGCCCTGGGAAGACTATGAAGAAATGTTCAGTTACTATGACCCCCCTGGTTCAAGCATTAAGGCCCCCACAAAAAAAAAAACCAAAATTCAAGTACCAGAGGTACACCAGGCCCAAGGACAAGGCTAAGTGTCGCTAATGATCAGAGATCTTCCTGATGGAAAAATAAAATTACAGCCATTTTAAAGAAAGGCTACAAAGAGGCAAAACACATGAATGAGCCAGGACACACATCTCGATTTGGCAATAAAAGGATCCAATAAAGATTAAAAAACTGCCTTACATAAAGTAATCACAACAATTAAGGAGGTGCCCAGAAATATTAAGATTTACATGTAGAGAGAGCTTCTCTCTACAAGGAAAAACAGACACAAATGCAGAAAAGACACAGGAACGACGAAAGTCAGAGCAGAGGCATGGGTCTATGGACTCTCAGGAGATCCATGTACATGTACCTTCCCTTTACAAAGTTTAAAAAAGGCAAGTTTCATCAACAACTTTAGATACTGATGTTTGTGAGGTGTTATATACTCGCTTACAGTAGCAATGCTTTCGTGTCATCACTATGATGGATGGTTCATCCCCCCCAAAAAAAAAAAAATTGGTCACTTGAAAATGCAAATTTGTCAACCAGATTGGAATCACTGTAGCATCAAATGAGAACGGGTCCAGGAAAATTCCCAGGGAGAGCATTAGCAGGATCCGGGGTGAGCTATCGATTCTGGCCCAAAATATCTAAAATCCCACGAGACACTCTAATGACAATCGCCATGACAAAATCGATCTCCATAAAAAAAGCTATTAACTTTTTCTACTTTTTATCAACGAATGAAGCTTCTGTAATACCAAGAACAATAACACACTGTATTTCCAGTACATTTACAAAGCTCAGTATAAAGTGTACCAGCAAAATGGGCATACATGTACTTTATAGTGTTTTTGTTCACTGTATGCATTTTTGACTTCAGTATTCATACTTCTGTATGCAGGCTGATAACTTGTGGCCATGGCTCCTGTTTTTACCATAAGCGGCTCACAAAGAGTCGCTGAAGCTGTAAACAAAAATGTCCATTTCAGGCACAGCCCGACTTTTTCATTCACTTGAAAATAGAGGATGGGATCCAATTGCATTGAATCAAAGTGAACTGATTCAAATCAAATCATATCAAATTCACTTAATTCCAAACAAATTATATAAGTTATCCCATTTAAAAACATCATTTGAAGCGTAACAAGAGAACCCTACCTTTTCAATCATTAGAGTTTTCTTTGGGGCAGGGAGCAGGTCTGTCTTGTTGAGGACTATGACCATCTTAGAACAGGTGATTTCTCCTATAATAAGGCACTGTCAAGGAAAAATCAAAAGTAGAAAAATTTAAATAGTTCTCCACTAATACCTACATTGTACTTGCAATCACTTGTATAATTACTACCAAACAAAGTACAGAAAAGATTAAAATAAAATCAGAAATATTCTATTCACCCAAACTGCCCCACGTCCACCAAATTTAATCCTCCAAATTCAGCCACAACAAATACATGTTCTTCTTCCGACAATTCTAATTTTCACCAAATCTACCATATTTTTCTGAACTTTTATCCTTACAAGTGTACTTCCCTCCGGATACAATTTTATTGTCTCCATTTTTAAAATTATTTTCTTTTCGTCTATAAACCAGTGAAATACATGTAGGCTCTACCTCAGCCGACTGTGTCTGCATTCCCTTGGTAACGTCAATCACCAACATCATAAGATCAATAATTTGAGCTCCTGGCAAAATCAATCATAGCCAACAAACGATTATTTAATTGCAATCAATCATGTTTTCTTGCTTGTGCCGTGGATCCTGCTTCCCCGTTCAAAACCCAATGTTTGGACTATCCTCTCAAAACAATGAAATGGCAACATTTGAATGGACCACAAGAACCAAGATCACTCAAAAAATGCAGCTACTGTACACGTATGTAATTCGGCGCTGTTCAAATTTCAAGGTACAGTATAATTTAGTAAAAATTTCACTTTACCCTGGAGGACATACATGTACATACACTGTATGTAACACAAAGGGAACTGAGGAATTCTCCCTGTTCTCTGCGGTCAGTCTTTTGTCCCAAGCAATGGGTGCCTGTGCTTATAGTCTATGGGAGAGTGTTACACTGAAGGAACAACCGCAAGCACAATGCACCTTCCTCACTGGTATTGCAAAACATGACTATAAGCATGGTAAGAGCGTGCATACAGCCTCAAGGGGTGTTGTTGCCAGGCAACAGAATACTCTCTTTTGCTCATGCATGGAGCCAATATTTCCCTGGGATTTGAGGTGGGTCCAAATATGAGCCAGATGAGCAGGGGTAATAATGAATTAAACCGGTATAGGCACCTGTGTACATGTATGTACATCACCACAGGGCCTCATTGATTATTACAGTCGAAAAAGTGTCATTACCAGCTAATTGTACCAGTTTCTCAACCATGCAATAATTGCATGCACATGGACACAAATCCTCCAAAGATGTTCAGACCAAGAAACTTTTTCAAAGGCATTTATAACAGCTCTACATGTAAGAAGTTGCATTCTTTGAAGTGCTCCGTCAATCAGGCAGCTTGAAGAGCTTGACGGATGCATGATCAAAAGGTCAATGCACATGCACATATCCATAAACAATCCTGTTTTTCTCTCTAGATCCAATAAAAAGGCAAGAGTGTGAGGTATCAGAGAGTGATGAAAGGGGACAATTTCATTTGACAGGAGAATTTGAACTGAAACGAAAAAACTTTAGAGTGTACCGACAATGGTTGTTACCCATTGTTATATGCTGAGGCATCTACAGTTCACACACACATACAGGAAAGGTAAAAGAAGGCATTGTGAACTTGGATGCAATTTAGAGTTTGAGATATCATTTGTCCAATTCACACTGGTACAACAAACAAAATTACAAGAAGCTTGTTCGCTTGATATTTTCCGAAATTGGAAGTGATAATGATTGGCATTTGGAGTGCACAAAAGACATACAGTTGAGTTGATATATCACACACACATAGGCCTCAGAAATCAAATCTGTGTTGCAGAAAAACAAACTCTACGGTATTTACATGTACACCATGTACGTGTACAGGTACTAGTTCACTGTACAGGTGTGAATTTCTTCTGACAGAAAAAAGTGTTCACAGGTTTAAAGTGCCCATGAAGTCTGTACATAAAGAAGACAGGTTGTTAGTCTTACCTGGCAACAACACACTTTATGGTGCATGCATGTATTTCTGATCACTCCAATTTCATATGTGATTGTGAACAAGGTTGCTGCATCTAGCAAAACCAATCATCAGTGAAGACTGAATAAACGTTATATCATCCAGCTCTCTTTTAAAATGACAGTCAATCTAAGTCAAAGGTCAAATTTAAATTAAGAGGTCAGAAAGGTGTTAAGTACACATGCGCACACCCACTAGAAAACAAAGATGCACCGGTGAACATCTTGAACAATCTAGTATATACCGGTTTATGGCAGTAAATGAATACTTGGTCTCAACAACAGATATAAGGCTGACCTTTTGACCCAGAGTGAAGGGTCTGCAATTTCATGCAGCCAGCTGATGGCCAGCTGAGGACTTCCACTGCCAATACTCTTGGTCAATCTTGACCAAAATGCCCCAGAAGAAAAAAATGTGGGGATTTGATGAGGAATGAATTTTTCTCATCATCAAAAGGAAATGATCAACGTGTCAAGCACATTAGTTGAAAGTCATCTTTAAACTGCTGACAAGGTGTATGTGTGGTACCAGTAGTTTAAACAAACAAGCAATGACAAGACCTAGATGAACCGGCGTCGATGTGTCAAGAATGGCAAAGGAGCACAGTTTTGGAAAGCCATTTTCGAAAATTCTGACAAGAACGTGAATGAAATCCCTCGCAGCCTGAAACAAACATGTATGCTAAGACCTAGATGAATCAGTGTCAAAGTAAACAGACCCTGTCGCAGCAATAAAAAGAATGTCCCAGAGTTTGGGCTCACCGTACAAATGGCAAAGGCTGGCGTCAACAGACCGAGCAACTGAACAAATGTTGGCCAGCTGAGACAAGATGCACGTGTGCTACCAGAATTGAAATCACTGAGCAAGCTACACAGTTTTACAGGTGCACCGCAGAAAGTTAATAACCCGGCGGTGCAGACAAATCCCACAGACAATCTGACTGCACTTCCGCAGTGCAACTGGCTGCCCGGTAGAGAGATGCAATTGCTTGGTGTTGAAGATATTCTAGAATTTTGTTACATGTAATCCTTGCACAAATAAATTGGAAATTGCATCATGTTTTTATCTTTTGCTCTACAATAGTACATGTGCACATGCGCTTCAATAGGCTGAGAAATTAGTAGCATAAGATGCTTCATAGCCAACGCACAACCAAAAAAAATACCAGTCCCATAATGGGTTATAACTGGAAACCCCATCCAAAAATTCTGAAAAAGCCCATCGGAAACCAATCATAATTTTTCTATTATCCAATACTGGTTTAACAAAAATTAAAAAAAAAACCTTGTTTCTGCATCCCAAGAATGTCCCAATCACTTCTGGTTTATTTGATTTCACGCAGCTTACATATTGTGCTATATTTCTGCAAGGGACACTCTGCCAGGCAATCACACAGTGGCAAACTGCTTTACATGTACGTCGTTCCTCAGGTATATTACTATTTATTAGTCATCAACAAACACATTCAAACTGCACACATTTACAAGAAATTGCAACAGAGACAAAACTTAGAGGCACATGCCGGGAATTAACAAAGTTTATTTAAAACCTGTGGCCCGAAGGCCTTCAATTCCAATACCTTTGACCACAACAAAAATAGACAAATTAATATGTAATATAAATCAATAAATAATTATTATAAATATACAAACAGTAAAAATGCTAAAATAGTAAAAGGTTACAGTGTATATAAAAGAAAAGACATAAAACTATTACAAAATATAACATCATGATAAGAGTACAGTGAAACTAGTTCAATAGCTGTGGCAGCAAGCGTTGTATTTTAGGGAATTAATCCAGTTATTTAATGACATTTCAACAATGCCAGACTTCAGGGATTTTGGTAACTCATCCCCTTCACGAGTGAACACATTCACTGCAGAACCATGAAGTCTTTGCGTGTGAGCCCTAAGATGACAAAATTGTGCAGTTTTTGTGTGTCGGCCATTGACCAGGATACTACATGTACATCTAACAATGTTACAAGTAATACAGCCGTCCTTTGTTTTCATGACATAAGAAACTGAAAAAGCTTGCATCGTTCCACAAGAGTGGTTCAATGTAGAAGATAACGTCGATCAACGTACACGTAGGTCATTTCCAGTCTTCTTTGTTTTAATATCATTCTTTCAGCACGACGCTGAACACTTTCAATCAGGTATCCAAATGTGCTGGAAATGGGTGCCCAGTTCCAACAGAAAATGTGGCGGTACCCCCTACTCTTGATGCATTCTTTACTAGGGGTATCCTGAGCGTGACATAAACAGCCACTGTCCATAGTTATCCAGTTATACGTCTACAGGTGAACATGCATGAAAGGCCCTTGGTCCCAGCCGCTCATTTATGTGTACATGTACAATGACTGAAGTTTCCATTTCCGTTTTTATAACAAACAGGCCTACCTGTATCTTGGCCAAGTATGGTGACACACTCATTTGTAATGAGGGTCAACTGTAAATATGGGATATCGTGACCCGGTTCAACTACATGTACTGTAACAGTACAACGTAGCTGGCTTTTGCAAGCCCTACTCTATCAAACTCCTTCACAATCTTTAAATGGATTCTGGTGGAATCAGGAGGACTTACACGTGGTTACTAGTTTTGGCAATGTCTAGAGCTTTTGTCATTACTGCTTAAATCATGGAAAACAACTATGGTTTAAAAATATTTAAACACATTGCGCCAACTGACTTTTGGAGGTATAATCAAAATAACAGGAGCTTAGATGGTCATTTACCGCTTGCATTCCAATCAGTGTCATTTGGTAGATTATTTGTGTATGGGCATCTACAAAGTCAAATAGGTACTGCCTTCTCTCCTGGGCTCTAGTACTAATTACTTATCTTACCTCCAATGATGGTCTTGATGAGGGAGGCGTGGCCCGGGCAATCCACGAGGGTAATAAGGAGGCGGTCATACTTCTCGCCTGGCAGGTGTTCGGGAAGGTCAACAGAAAAAGAAGAGAAGCCTGGAAAGAGGAATAACCTATTAATTGTCTTGACTTCCTCCACGTGACGTTATAAGTAAATTATTACTCAGCATGACTGAGGCCTCGGCCGAGAATTATTAGCAATCAATAATTAACGACAACAATAATTCTTTCATGTGACATGAATTATTCTGCAGAGTGAAGAGCTTTGACAATGAGGCAATCAATTCATACCAAGGAATCTAATGACGTGACATTATAAATTATTTCCAACAATAAAAAAATCCTGATTATTTCAAGGAAATAGGGCAGGAAAATTTGCAAGGGAGTATGGCAGCAAGGAATAAAATCAGATGTTTACAAAAATGAAATGTCCATGCCATTTTCTTAATTAATGAGAAAACACTAAAAACTGATGAAATGATTTGGCTAAAGATGCATTTGAGGGAAGCATGTTTTGGAAGGAGAGACTGGGCACCAGGATTTCTCAGCAAGTTCTACAAATGTCTGGAGTCTTCGGTTACAGCTGCTCTACCATGGAATTCCATTACTTCACAATATTATGAACTGTTAATTCTATTCCACACTTTACAAGTTACTCTATATTAAATGAAGACCAAATTGCAAAATGTACCGGTACCCAGTACTTACATGTAGATCATCACTACAGGATTAGTTAAGCATGAATAAAGAACAAAAAAGGAAAATTTGTTTTTTCTAGACAAGTTTTATGGGGCGGAACTGATTCTGTGGACACAGCCATTAATGAGTGGTCATGTGATCAGAATGTTGATCATGATGTCACAAGTGCTCATGGGCACGTGGGGAGGGGAATTCTCAGCATCGTTCTGGAACACACTCGGCACCGCTTTGGGCTTCAACCTTAGCCTTTTTGCCAGCCCCATTTCGTACTGCTGGATATTCTTGTAGTCATCACGAGTGAAATGTTCACTCACACCCTCGCTTGACGGTCTTTTCCTGGAGGACGGCAGCACTTTGCCAACCATTGCCACCATAGATGCTGTTTTTCTGGCAATGTATGCCAATGTGCATACTGGGGATTGTTTGTCTGACACAAAACAGTACTGTGCTATACAGTACAGCATTGCAGATGAGTAGGCCAAAAAATGGTCTGTAGAAATTGTGGAAAATTGTCACAGAAATCTGTCAGCTAGCACGGTATGAGCACCTCATTGGAGCAGTTGTGACGTCACCATCGAGATTCTGATCATGTGACCATTCATTAATGGCCTCGTCCACAAAGTCAGTTCTGCCTCATAAAAACTGTCAGGAAAAATACTGTGCGTCATGATTTCCTTTTCTTGTTCTTTCTTCATGCTTAACAAATCCTGTAGCGACAATGTACATTTGGGCCTAATAAGGATAGTCTTCCTTTAACAAAGGTACATGACCAAAAAAAAAGTGACCATCCTAGATTTCTGCCATTTCCAAATACGTGTATGAAGTGCATCATTTCTCAGACAAACTTCTCCTCGTTTCCAATCAGAGGTCATCCCCTGCCTCAAGTGTTATTGGTCTCCGACCATCTGAGTGACAGTGTCTGGTGTGCGAATGGATGTTTGCACAAGCACCGGTAATAGACTTTTAATTGCAGGGAAAATATCGGTTCCTGACAGTGAGATATGTCCATTTATCATGAGTCCATCGGCTGTACAGAGAGATGCTGAACTTGAGATGGGCTTATAAATGATGAACCTTATGGGAGGTAATGGGGACGTAATTGGAGGAAGCATTAATGCTTATCCTGTGTGTGTAATTCATCAACACAATTGAAGTGGCACGTACGCATATGACCAATCTCTCGGCCTTTTGGATAAATACAGTGAACTCAAGTGAAGGAATGAAGAAGTTGGGTAAAAGCACTTGAATATCAGGAGTTGATGAAAGTTGCACCAGTTATTAGCAGTTTTACACACAGGGGATGTTCTATCTCCATGCAGAAAATACAAGGAAAAAGATGCAATTTCAAGATTGGAACTACATATTGAAATCTTCTGCATCATGACTCCAGTGCCTTTCAAAAGGTAACTGCCGTTCCAAGGCCTTTTTAGCGACTTTCTGCATCATGACTCCAGTGCCTTTCAAAAGGTAACTGGCGTTCCAAGGCCTCTTTAGCAACTTTCTGCATCATGACTCCAGTGCCTTTCAAAAGGTAACTGCCGTTCCAAGGCCTCTTTAGCAACTTTCTGCATCATGACTCCAGTGCCTTTCAAAAGGTAACTGCCGTTCCAAGGCCTCTTTAGCAACTTTCTGCATCATGACTCCAGTGCCTTTCAAAAGCTTACTGCCGTTCCAAGGCCTCTTTTGCAATTTTCTGCATCATGACTCCAGTGCCTTTCAAAAGGTAACTGCCGTTCCAAGGCCTCTTTAGCAACTGGCCGAAAATAAACATAGCAGTAAATAAACATGACGGCATTTTTTCCCTCAAAACTCCAATACTGTCTTATTGACACCAAAATAATAATACTGTTACATGTATTGGTACATGTACATATTCACCCACACCATAGTTGTGGGCACATACACTCGATATTTCACCTATTTTGAGGGGACTCAGAAATGTCCCCACAACGCACTTCAAATTTCCCTAACAAAAGAACTTGTCCCCTGAAGACGGTGAATGCCTACCCAGTATGTCCTACATTGTATGGACTGTACCGGTATGTACAATGTTCATTATGCACTGCATGTCAGTACATGTATTGTTACATTTTAACGTCCAGCTGGGACCAATTTCATAGAGCTGCTTAAGCACAAAATTTGCTTAAGTGCGAGAAAACCTCACTTGATAAATCAGGTAACCAGCCAAAACTCCATGTGGTGTATATTGTTTTGGGATCATATTTAGCTGTGTTTTGGTTAGCATGACAATCACACAGAGTTTGAGCTGGTAACGTTTTTTTAAGCAAGGTTTTTCACGCTTAAGCAAATTTTGTGCTTACATGTAAGCAGCTCTATGAAATTGGCCCCTGATAAATCTTAAGCATGGCAGGCAGGTTCTCCAGCTACTAGTACCTTAAGCTTTAAGGCTAATTGTGCACTTTACAAGTTTATTAATTTCACAACCATTTCCCCCTTACACGCAAGACCTGTTTAAAAAAACAACTGTGTGGGCAGCCACAGGCTCCAATCCCCACTTCCCAAGAGAGGCTAGAATTTCCATAGCCGTCCACCAGAGGCCAAGCGGTTAGTACATGTACAAGGGGGCAAGGCTGCCTAGTGGCTGTGTATTTGGTCCCCGAGCGAAGCACTCTGTGATTAATCCCACTTAATCCCACCTGCTCCTCAAAGGGAGGGGGGAAGCAAGTGGAATGAAGTAAACGGGTAAATGGAATAACATGGCAAGTACATGTGCACAGTACTGCAACATTCCATTGTCAAAGTGGATAGAGCCATTCTAATCACACTGTAAAAAAGGGTTAGTGCATTTTATTTAAGTATGAATTTCTATCATTATTAACACAGTTTTTCCTTTTTATTTTCAAGCACTTGTGCAAATAATGACTTGTATGATTTAGAATACGTGAACATAGCCCTTTCATTTATAATGTTGGTACATGTACATGTAGAAAGTCCTGACATCCTTGTCCTCCATCCATGTTGATTTTAAAAAATCTTCAACATGGGTCAAGTAATTTTGGAAACATGGCACTTCATTTCATTACCAAGGTTGCAAGCAGATGCACTGTGGTACATGTACCCCAATCTCACCAGAGAAAGCACATCAAACAGGAAACACAATACCAAAACAATCCCTTCATCACTGGAAATGATTTGGGTTTCCCTGTCTTGTTCACCATGAGATACAAGTAAAAAGAGTGTGGAAAAGCCTTTGCCAATATGCTTCTATTGCTGTATGCTGTAAAACTCCCATGGCAGTTATGTTATAAACCCGACCCCGTGCAATAGAGAAATACACAGTGTTAATTGCAACAAGCAAAGGACATCAAACCTTCTAGGCTCAGTGATGTGAATTTTACCTGGACCTGGGAACATGTTTTGTGCAACTTTCTAATCCTCTTTAATGTTAAGAAATTATTTAAAAGTCCCTATTTTGAAACTACAAATTTGTAAACTTTCAATTTTTTTCTGAGAAATTAGGGCACTGTTGCAGTTTTTATTTTCAGGGGGGGGAATTCTGTTCAGATCATGAACTCCAACTTTTCTCGTTGAAAATATTTGTGAGAATACATTGCTCACTCGTCTACTGTCTTGAACTGAAACAACATAAGAGCAACAATAACAACAAAATATACACAGGCAAAATATCCACAATGCAACACATGTAGCTCTACCACTGACATGTCTGCCTCAGATGAAATCACACTTGCTTATAATGTATTCAAATTTTTCTTTTTTTAAAACAAAGCAGGCACCAAAGTGCCTTTAAAATAGCACACAAAAGTACATACATGGGACACAAACATAACAAAGGAACATTGACAAAGGACTGCATTAACAAAAAATTACATTGCATGGGCTCTTTAAAGAAAATTGGCTTGGCTCCAGAATCCTGAATCAATCAAAATGGGAATGGCTGTTAATGGTTTCTACTGACAGGGATTTCAATTGGCTATTCAGACATTATATGGTGGCCTGCCTCAGAGGTTTTAGTGAGCACCTTGGCCTTTTCTGGCCAATATACAGGTGTACACTTATGCGTACATGTATATACGGAGTATGTACATGTCATCTCAAGCTTCAGTACAAAACCTTGAGGAAAAAATTGCAGAAAACACAAAACTAGAGCAATTTTTGAAAATTTCACTTTCTGGGTGTTCTGACCAAAGAAGGCCACACAACCTTAGCACGATTTATCTAGGAAATGAATTGAGGGTGAAAGTACAGGACTGTAAGCACAGTTTACAACGGACTGTGTTTTTTCCTCCCTGAAATACTTTTCCCCGGAAATTTTTGTGTGAGGGATACTGAAATTTCAATCTGTCATTTAAGAATGTTCCATTTCTTTGAGTTCAATTGTTAACTTGGAGGACGACATCTTTTTTAATTGCTCATTTTTAATTGAATTTGTATTCCTTATTTCTTGAAACTGCAGTTCCCAATTAAAGAAACGCTAACAACACCAGTATAGATTGCTACATGTACACATACACATAGATGGTGTTTAATTAGGTTACATTTGGGGAAGGTTTCGGTAAAGTTATTGAAAAAAAAACCTTCACAATCTAAGAGTATGAAAATAATTTCCACTATAAGCATACAATTGCTGTGTTTGTGGACTGTGCCCATTTGCTGTCTGTAAACAACGAAAACTTACCAAGATCAAGCGTTATTCCTCTCTCTTTGCTCTGTGGGTTTTTGTCAAATGCCGCTGTCGAGGCAACTGTGCTCAAAGCCTTAGCTGCAACCAGAACAAGTCAAACCATTAGGACTCTATACACACACGTACATGTATGCATGTAAAAATATAGTACAGGTCTACAGGACGTGCACTTTAAGTGCTGTTACTACATGTATCTCTGTTCTAGAGCAGCCGTACCACGAGGCACTTCCATGTACTGTAGCTAATTTTATAAATTTATGGTCTAATTTTACCTGTCCAGGCCATCAGGTATATGATTTTACCATAGAGTGAAAATATTACCGTACCTACCTGTACTAAATATATAAAGATAGTTTGAAGTCAATTTCAATAATTCCTTGTCAAATTAGGGACAGAAAAATGTCATGCCAGATCCCAAGTTAATAGTTAATCCATAAAACTGTAGTACATTGCACTGTACTATGTTTGAGCTCTGGGTGACTCAAGTCCGACTCGAGTCACATTTTTAGTGACTTGAACTCGGACTCGAGTCACTTGGACAAATGACTTGCTCTTGAGGCTGTGGACTCAGACTCAATATGCATGACTTGTGACTTGGCAGAAATTACATGGTTACATTGATCTGGGTTTTCTTTTCACTGAGCAAAGCAACGCCTGATGCCGCTACTGCAGTGCACACATGGTTGCCAAAATATTGATCAAGGACATCAATGTACCTAAACATGTACCCCGTCCAAACTTGATATTGCATTTATACACGATGTATTCGGTATCAGACTATTCTTGTCGGGTGCAGACTGGTTCCCTGGAGAGAAAAAGCTATGGATCACTTGTTAGAAGAATCTAAGTTGCAGGTGGTTATACCAGTAGGTCTGATGATCTGACGTCAGTACGGTCTGTGCATACATGTACAGTATGTGAGAGCATGAAGATCGGTCATCGCATCCATTCCAAAAGTAGTCAGTTTTGGGTTTATCAGTTTTAAGAGAAATGCAAATGGAAGATCAAGCCCAGAATGCAAATTCTGCAGGAGAAAAATAGAGGAAAAAAATGAACCTAAAAATGTTTCTCCAATATGTACAATAATAAAGGTGACTCATAACTCAGACTTTAACCTTTGTGACACACGACTTGGACTTGGACTTGGACTCGAACCAGATGACTCAGGATGCAGACTCAGACTTGAGAGATGTGACTCAGACTTGGACTCAATGTTTCATGACTCAAATACACGTCTGGGCACCATACATGTACATGTATATATATTTTTATATCCACAATACCATGAATACTGATCCCTCTCACAGTTCAGTTCACTTTATTTTCCATATACATGTAAAATTACTCTACAGAAACAGTTTCACAAAGTGTCTACAGTGTACATGTGGATGGGGGCCCCCAGAAGCAGTGCTTGTCGAGTGAGGGTCCCCAGTTATGAATAAACAAAGTTCCACAAAGACAACAACACACTAACACTTTACAAATAACACAACAAATATTGAATACAGCACATGTACATGACTATGTAGCCTTTGGCTGTTGCAACCCAGTGAGAAAGAAATTAATCATTACTCAAATAGTTAATTAGTAATTTACTAGAGACTAGATGTACATTTCGAGGAAAATCTATAGAACTCTATAACTTGGGACCTGCATGTTTCACAGTAGATGTGGCGAGCTTAGACAGAGCCCACAGACAACATGTTCGTAGGAAAAGTATGATTGCGTGCGTAATGCCGCCAGGTGCACCTGTGCACATAGTGCAAACGTTGCAGGACACACGTGCTGCTCAGTCAAAATTTCTCCAAATTATGGCACAGCCCATGCGTGTTACAGAAATTTGACATTCAAAATGATATTTCATACAAATTTCTTTATTTCCATTCACCTCAGTGAAGGCGTAATACAATAAAAGTGATGAATGGTGGAGGATGCCAGAAAGCAGCTGCCTGTACTTGGCCAGGCCCCCATTTATAATTTAAAAGAACTTAAAGTACAGTGGAAAAAAATTAACCCGCACAATGAAAGTAGAGCAGCAAGAAACGAAACAACTTACATGTAACTCGAAGTATTCAGAAACAGTTGTATACTTTTACATAAACGATACATGTACATGTAGGAAGTGAGTAAATACAATTTACCATTCAGTTCATTAATTTATAACGAATTTTTTGGGCCACACACTCGGTCAGGTCATACTGTATGCCATGTCTGAGTTATCAAACGACTGGCACTAGTGCACGTTGATATATAGAAAATGGCTGCCAGCCCTGGCATATACGGCTTTTGTACATCATGTAGGTGACATCAAGAGCGAGGTGCAGTCAAGTAATTTCGGTTGTGACTTATTACAAGCATATGGCCCCGAAGAATGGGCCATGAGTTGGATTAGTGATGCACACTAGTACACTGGGAACATGACCTTGTACATTTTTAGCTTATTTCCATTAAGACACGTACATGTACGAACAAAGCAGCAAAATTATCCTCCAAATATCTTGGTAATGAGGGGCAGCAAAAATGTGTCACCCAGCAGCAATGCTTTCTTTGGTGCTTTTGGTCAAAACATGAACAGATTTCAAAAATAAATTTGGGGGCCCAGCAGTGTACAGAGGCAGGCCAATCCAGTACCTAGAGGGGGCTGTTCATTTGGGATCTCATTTTCTTAATAGTAAATCGTGATTACATTTTATATAAATTGTCTTTCTCCACATACTGTTGCTGAAATTTGAAGTGAAGCCAGACACAAATAAGAACACAGACTTTACGAAAATGTGAATTTTTAGCTTTGAAGTTAAAATCAACATTCATTTAGTGTATGACAAAATCACAGTTTCTTCTGTATTACGCCTACTATAACTTGGGGGTCAAACAGATTTAAAATCATCCCTGCTTAGAATAAATTTTTCATGGCTAGGCGGCCTATGCAGAATGGAATCTGGAATGACATTCTCTCCAAACTCACATAAAAAAAGGCCAAACGCCTACATCAAATATGTCTTAGCCTCCCTACACCCACGGGCACAGTTAGAACTGACTGGGTTTATTTAGGCCTACAGATACATGTATGTAGCACTGTCCTGCCCAACTCGGGCCTGCAAGAAATTAGAAAACGACTGTCCGAGAACTGGGCACACATGTTGATGTCCCGTGCCACCATGTAAGTCAAAAATGCGACATTTTGTAAAGTGTAACTGTAGTTGGCTGGTTTTACAAACAATGGAAATAAATTCCTGAAAGTTAAATTCTTACCAAGTGACGTTTTACCACTGTCAACGTGTCCCAAAACACCGATGTTAAAATTCAACACTCTACTCGTGGAGGCTGCCATCTTTGATTTGAACGTTTGTTTGAAGTTATGTTCCTCCACGAATTAACACGACGTGTTTGCATTGGTTGGAAGTTTCCTTCGTGACTTCTATTGTTACTTCTATGTTTACATGTTTGGAGATGGACAAGATTAACACGAAGTTCGAAATAGAGTTTTCCATGCATCTCAGGGAAGATAATCTTTTGGAAGGAATACAGTGTGTTTTCAAAGATGTCTGCGTCATGCATTGGCCCGCCCTTCGTCATTAAAGAACACAAAAGAAAGTCAGAGTAGGCTTACCCCTGTCCAATTCATGTAAAAATTAATGCATCAACCATTTCACGTGCGATTTCCGACATTTACTTTAGAGAGACGACCAATGACTGGGACACCCCTCTATGAAACATATCAGGGACAAAATTATTTGGAGTTGTTTTTATCCAGTTGTACGTAAAAACCGGTTGCTGGGCAGTGCAGCCCAGTAACTACCATATTCCATTAGAGATTCCTTCTTGATGTAAATGGAAAGCTATTTTTGGACGTTGCAGATTTTACGTTAAAAAACTAATCTGGAAAAAGTTAGGCTCAGGTTTCTAAATCACCCATAGCTAACTACACAATTCAGGTTTAAAATCTGCCACATCGTCATGGCACTAACAATTTGGAATAAAAAGTGTCACTGTGGGAAGGTTGGGGAGGCGAAAGGACATTGACTGAATTGAATAGACGACTCCCTTTATGCAGGGCATGGTGGCAAGAGCATTATTAAGAAAATGCACGCACGCGTAACTCGGCGAAAATTTTGTTTGGTTTTCGCAGTGAGGACAGGACAGAATTTTGTTGAGAATTGTCGGTGTTTCAATGTCCATTATTGAAACCTACCACAGATTTGCTTTCTTGTTTTTCTTATTTGAAGAATTCTCGTGAAAAAAAGGACCAGAATTATGAAACCTGCGTTCATTATTTGTTTAGCTAACTTACATGAATCGGATCGTTCAAATAAATGTTTCCAACTCCTGCCGTATAGAAAATCACTGAAAGGAATCAAGTCCGTTTAAGGGGCAAACAAACTTGTAAAATAGGGCTTAGTTTCCGACCGGACACAGTGCTCTACGCTTGTGAGGAAGGAGGCATTATCGTGACATTTAATGAAGAGTGATGTTTCCATGCTTCCTTTTTTCTTCAAATGCAAGGAATTAATTGCTAATGCTGCGACTGAATCTGTATGACCGCTTGCAAGTCGTGAATTCAGGTATCAAATAAAGGCCTATAACAGTCACATAAAAAAGGAGCATCCCTTCAAAAATACCAGAACAAAACCAAACATGGCCAAACAAAAATTATATGACGCGACAAGAGACGGGGCATGGCAACTGGAGATATTTACCCGCACTATTATGTGAATGGCATCGTTGGGGGAGGGGGTGCTCATAATGGAAAAGGGTTGACGGATTTTAACGGCTTATAGAAAATGGCCCTTAATCCCCAATCCGTCCCTTCTGAATTTGCATTTAATTGGAGTTGAACACGAAGGATTAGACACTGCAGGCTCGTTCGATCCCTTAACTTCCCTGCTTCAGCGCATTACCTATTGACCTATGATTTCAGATCCGGGGGCGAAGCAAGCTGTGCTATCCCAGAAATGTTGAAGTTTATTGGTTTGCATACCATCAAGGTGATCTCTCAGGATTCTTTACAATCTCCTTCCTCACTAAAAAGCCGCCTCCCTCACTAAAAAATAGCCTCACACCTGAGCGAGCCCATGAGAAATTCTGAAATCCCCCCCCCCAAATGTTCCCCTCAAAAAATTGGTTCTGAATCCGTCCATGTTGACCCCAGGGGTTGTACAAACAATGAATATCCCTGTCACATTCACAAAATAGCGAGACGACGGAAATGGAACAAGCTGTTGCCAGACAAACTTGCAAACAGCATTCATAACTTTATTCACGAGCTATAATTACATCCGCTTTATTTTGAGCATATCCTTTAAAATTAACAATTACTCATTCAACATTAAAAATAACTCCTCCAGTGAAAGTCTTACTTTGAGATGTCTTTTAAAATGCACGTCGCCTTCGCTGGATTAAGGTCCACCAGAAGAGGTAAATTTCACGATAGACTATACATAGATCACCTTATCGGCGGGCATACGTTTGGGTCTGGTTCTAAATAATTCTCTTTTAACATTCAGGTCGACATTTTAATGCAGGTCTGAATGCTGTCTGCAGTTATTCAAACAGGAAAATTTAATCATAAACTGATTTCGAAAAGTAAGTAAGTTAAGAAAGGGTTTGAATGACATTCATACTGGTATTTAATTAAACCAACACAAAGAGAACAGGTATATTAACAAAAACTGGTGAATAATTACGAAACAAAACGGAGGCCAAGATAATATATATTTCGCGATATATTAAACAAGAGTTGCTTTAAATCAGCAAGCTTAGGGAAAAGTAGACCAGTAGAGACATGCTAACACTGGCAAAGAGGAGAGTAGAAAACGTGAGTCAAAGGATAAAGGTAGCGTTGCTTTCAGAAAAAGAAAAAAAGACACTGCCCTTTGCTCATCTCTCATGGCTTTAAAAAATCCTTCCTCCAGAAAACACAGAAATGGTGGTGTGAAGAGGAACATGCTGAGAAAGAGGAAAAGTTTGAAATGGTTTGTATAAAGAGGGAGAAAGAAAGGATCAGAAAGGACAGACAACCTCGTGCACGTCAACCGAAGCACACAAAAAAGCCAATTAATAAAAAGTAAGTGGGAAAAAATGATATTAAAAAAGTGAAGACACATGCTTGAAAACAACGAAACTTAACTCTTTAGATAGGAGCAGAGATGGAGAAACCAAGGGACAGACAAGCTAGGACAAGAAGAGAAACCAGATGGGCAGAGAGAAACTCCAATGAAAGTGATGAAACTAAGGATGCCGGTACGCTCCGCAAATGGACGATGACTGTTGATTTTGAGGGGGTAAACATTGAAAAGGTGGAGTGGAAAGGAATCAAAAATACCACAGTAAATGGATGTCACTGAAAAAGTGGTTTATAAGGAGTAGTTAATTTTGCCATTCTGAAACATGTTTTTGTCGATCTCCTTTTCTTTAAAATCGATCTCAAAAGTGAGATAATAAAATCTTGATTTCCACGCTTTCCGCTCAAAATATTTTTCGTTGTGCTGAATAAATCAATGCTGTCATAAAATTGTAATTTGTCGATATATTTAGTGTCGACAAAAACTATCTTAGCATTTTTCAAACATTTTAGAGAAAAAACTTTCAAATATAGCATTTCAACAATTCTGTTTACATAAAAAAACAACAAATGGCTAAACAAAATTTAGAAATACGAGAAAGCTTATCTCCCAGAGTGGATTTGGGATCAAGTTGCAATCAAAAACCATTCAGACAATGGATCTTAGGGCCAGATTTAAAGCCGTTGTACTAACATCAAAATTATGTGGTTTCTTGCTTTACAACAGCAAATTTCCGCCATGGTTGTTAATTTTAATCATCATAAAATATGAACTTACACAGTTTTTGCTGGATCAAGATTAACTTTTTTGTTTCTTTTTACAAGCACACCAAGCAGCATCGCATCGTCAAAACAGTTTGTACTAAAATACAATTTCATTGGGCGGCATCCAAATCTAATAGAGAAAATATGGATTATACATTTGGGGTTTCATTAACTGAAAACATGGCAAAAAATTAATACGTGGCTATCCATAATAATTATGAACCTTTACTTGGCATTGGCTCCTGCGAAAACGCAGGTCCAATTAGTAATTGGTCAAATTAGATTCTTATTAATAGTTATTATTCTCCGATGACTTTCAGTTGGTACCTATATTATTATTATTTACATTTTTTTGTCACTGGAATGATTTCCTTCGTAGTTTTACCTCTCTGCCGAGCAAATTCTTGTGACAATGACGGTAGAGTAAGGAAAGTTATACCACGCCAAAAACAGACATCCAAAGCAATTCTTCGTTCTCCTCTACGTCCAGAGTGGACTGACCATCAAGGCCTTTCGAAAGGGCCCACGCGGACCCGATGTCTTCATTTCTGACAACTAATTCAAAACAACTGCCAAGCATGCACATAATTATTATGAAAACAGAAACATTCAGTTTCGCAAAAAGATTGTAAATCTAAATGTCACGTCTTGTACACAAATTTGTGGTTTTCCTTCCGTTAACACAATTATTTACCCACTCAGCAAGAAGTTCTATTCTATCGGTTGGAGGCCTCCATTTCGTGCACGTGCATGATACAAAGACTCAGCGATATCGTTTTTAATGCAAAACAATGAGCCAATTCAGTATTTCAGAAGCAAGGTCATTCGGGAACAAAGCGCGAGTACGACGGCTGCGCTTATTAGTGCAAATCTCGCACGCACGTCCGAATGACCTCAGAATGGATTTGCGCATGCGCTGTTGGAATACAGAATTAAATAGACTTATTTCATTACTCCATTCCAAAAAAGTACTCGTAAGCCATTAATTCGACCAACCTGTCCTGTAGCCACTACGATCAGTTCCTTTCATCGGTTCATGTTATACGTTTCACGATGCAAGTAAAGTTTGGCTGTTATTAAAGCTTTTCAAAACTATATCCCCCTCTGTTCAGTTATCTTTTCACTTGCAATTTACCATTTGAGCGATGTACCTTTGTATTCTGTAAAACATCAATGATTTTACACAAAACAATGTGCAACATTTCAGTAGGTAATTGTAATGACTCTAAACTTTGAAAGTGCTATGCGCTATTGAAAAAAAATAGCTTTTGTTTACGAAAAGAGATAGATTTTGTATTTCAAGCGTTTCATGCAGTTTAGTAATAACTGCGTAACGTTACATATGTTAACAGAACTAAAAGGTCTATATTACATTCAGTTTCTAACTTGTTTCAAAGTTATTAATTACCACCGACAAAAGTCAAAACTATAACCCCTGTCTCCCAACATCGATTGTTAAAATCTGGTGTTAAAATTACGATGTGTGTAATACACATCTTATTCATATCTTCTTCTTGGCAAGAATTCTTGTTTGTCACCATTTTACCAATTTCTACCGTCAACAATGACAACGAAACCAAAGCACATTTTTATAATGTAAAAACAGTAGCATTCTCATGTTGGATGTCTTTAAACTGTTTTGAACACCATGACAAACTGTTAAATCCTGTGTATTTGTTATTCATTAATTCTGCAGTCTCCGTGAGAATTCATAGTGTACAATGAGTGTCACTAGCGTCGACCGGTATACCATTGCCTTTTGCCGGTATACCACTGGCGTTTCTGGTCTTCGTTGTCTTGTCGTTTGCCAGTGTACCACTGGCGCTTTCCCGTGTACCACTGCCGCTTGGCTTCGTCAGCAACGTTGTTTTCATATTCGTCAGATCTTTTCCCGGTGTACCACTGGCGTTTCCCGGTATACCACTGACGCTTCTCGTCTTCCATATCGTCCCGCTTTCCCGTGTACCATTGCCTTTTGCCGGTGTACCACTGTCTCTTGGCGTCTTCCTCCGCTGGTTCCTTTTCCCCGCTGCGTTTGCCGGTGTACCACTGGCGCTTACCAGTGTAAAATTGTCGTTTAACATCGTCCCCGCTGTCTGCTAATAACGCTGCGGCGTCCTGCAGATCGCCTGCGTCCCGTTTTCCGGTGTACCATTGGCGTTTGCCGGTATACCATTGTCGTTTGCCGTCTAGACCGATCGGGGCGCCCGCTGGGTACTGTCTTTTGTCCCCCTCTTCTTCCCAGTCGACAGCTTTGACATCCTCTATCATCAAAGAAGAAAAGAACAAATGCAGAAATTCAGCAATGCCGGTTTGGGGAACAAACTAATATGTAGCGTCTAGGGATTTTTGATGGTATCTAGGTGGTGGTTCATGGTTGGAAACCATGCCTATTTAAGATCAATTCATACTTCCAACGAACACAAAGGTGAACCAAATTTGATATTATAAAACATATTGGCTTGCGTCGAAATCTTTTGATTTTTTGAGAATTTGCAGCATCTGGATCTGATGTGACGTCACATCACACCATTTCAAGAAGCAATGTTCGAAATATATCCAGTGTACTTCAGACACTCGGGATCTCACTTGGACACGAGTATTTAGTGTTTACAAGGTTTCAGCTTTATTCATGGCAGGTGCAGTCATTTTGGATGATCGCCATCTGTGCGTTATACCCGAGCATGGCTGCGCATAAACTGTTAATTTAACACAAGTGTGTGCTGAGTATGAAATGCGATTTTTCACAAATAATAATGAGATATTTGGTTTGATTAACAATTCGGATCACTGTCCCGAGTCCCTTTTGATTACATTTTAACACGTTTAAAGGTCTACAAATTGCGACTTCGACCAATGGCCTTTGCACTAAGTCATCATTAACCTACTGGCGAAATTCAGCTAAATGCACAGGATAATACCCGGGAGAGCATGAAATACAAATTACGATGATAACAAAAGACTGAATTGAAACTTAACACATTTACGCGTAAAGAATGTCTTTACACACAAGCCATGTTGCAACAGGATTAATCACAGGACAGTAGATATCTTCGGAAAAAACGGTTTCTGCCTCTCGTACTAGAAGCCCCTCCCCCAGCAAAACCCAAGGGTTCTTAGGGGTTAGACCCCCATACGCACTAAACACACATCTCACACACATGGAGACAGCTTCTAACACCAGCCTTTAAGAACTGAGTACTTTCCGTCCGCCCAGTATTGATTGAGCATTTCCGGGAGCACGAAGGTCTCAGCGTTGTAGCACTTAATGTAACAGTTTAGTCACAAAAATATTAATCGATGATGCTTGCGTGCGAATATAAATCCGACGAGGAGAGCATACGAATTTCAGTATTTGCAATAAAGAATCAAAGTTCATGTTCGTTCATTCTTTAAAAAAAAATCCAATGCCCTATTTATTTGTCCCACTCGTCTCCCATTCTGCTGTGACGGTTACCACAAAATCACATCATACGGATCGCCACAACCGATATTAAACTCCTTTACTTGCTGTCGTTTTATTTTTTATTCTCATCCTACATGTACACCTTTAAATTTTGACAACAATGTAATCATCAATCTCAACGCTTATTGGGTTGTCAAAACCTGCAACATCTATAAACGGATATTTCCGCTGACAGTATCATTTTGTACCCCAGGTTTGAACAGTGAACGTGTAATAGACGCATCAATTAGACCTCTTCTATCGCTAGAGGCAAAACGCGTCAAACCAATTTTGAAAACTTAAATCACACGTTGACAAGTTCAGGGCACTGAACCTGCAATCACTGGGTCTTTGAATGACAAAAACTGCATTAATTTGAGATTTCTTCGACTAGAAATCCCTAGATTATCAAAATAGAAACCTTAAACTTGACTCCCTCTGCCGGGCCTTCTTTGGAGTCAGTGATTTGTAGTTGACAAACCCATATCGTTCCAGGCTCCAGATGTGCGGGATATTTTGGGGGAAAATTGATACATTCCCTCAAGCCGTTTGATGCAGAAATTCAATTCCTGTTGTACCTACTCTCAGTCCTATTAGAAATGTTCCAATCTAGAAGATTAGTTTATGAGAAATACTTCTGAGCAACCACTTTCAGAATTATTTGTTTGGGTTGTTTGTTGTAAAGTGTTTTTATATGAAATATTTTATGGGCGTAATCTTCCATATGCTTCACTTTGTAGGTAATCATCCTCAATGGAATTATTTATTATTGATTCCTGTAAATCTGAAATTATGATTCAGTAATTTTAAGTCTGTGTTTGGCCTTGCATGTAGTTTATAATTTTATTTTTAATGACCTTTCATTGTATTATACGTATTGTAATACGCATTTGAAGATTTGTAATGATGAAATTTGCGCAATTTGTGGGAAATTACTTGGCAGCCATCGGGGCACACTTTCCAGGAAAAGCTTATTGCAAATGAGAACGAAACAACGATTTGCTGTAAAATTCCATTAACACGCCTCTTACATTTGCAATTCGTTATAGTTACAGTGACTGCAAATTGTACGGAAAATCACTGCCAAGTAATTTACATGCCTGCCAGGTAATTACCGGGACATCTTTTACAGGTGTTTTTATTTATCTCAAACTACTAATACGACGGTTGGAGTTGACAACAGTATTGAATAATGATAAGGATAAATGAATTCGATTATATCAATGGAATGCATTTTGAGGGCACCGATAACTTAAACTGGAGCTAAGCTTCTGAATGAAGTCGAGTTCCGTTCGCTTCAGCCCACCCCCGCTCATTTCGCGCCCACCATATCCGCCCGTGGCTACAGCGCTGGCAAAGAGGTCCGGTGTATCGAATGGACATCACGACAAAGGCCTTGGACACCAAACCCTTGCCATGGAAACCTCTAAACCAGACCGGCTTTCATGCTCAAGTCGGTTTTTTTCCCACAGCGCTGGCGATTCCTGGCTTTGTCAGATATCGATTGTCATCCTATAGTCGATGGCCATTACCTTGATTTCCCGGCTTCCGCTCTTCCTATCAACCCACACAGGATACTACCTTAATCAAGCACTCATCGATCCCAGCTCCTCAAAAAAAACTTCAAATCAGTTGATGATACATTTACCCAAGAGGTGGAAGTGTTGTCATTGCCAAGTCACCAATTCGAATGTTTTAAAGCAGTAAGACCATTAGTTTTATCGACGCCACCCGCAGCGTGTGAATATAATATGCATCATTTGAGTCCAGAACAAGCATTGAGCGCGAAGGGGAACGACCCTAAGATATTGTAAAACGGACTGAAAAAATCACTTGCGCTGCTTTGCAAGACCCAAGGTTCTACAAAGATATTGGCATTTCCAGAACATTGCTTCAAAACTCTCAAGGAAAATGGCTGGGCGATGCAGGCTTTATTTAGGGGTATAAATACCAAGTGGCCAGTTCCCCGAAGCAAAAACGAGAAACTGATTCAACTTCTGCCTCTTTGACAATATTTGCACTACGGCTGAACTATTTTCTTTCCAAAAGATAAGCTATCTATCCAAAAATGTATACACCCCATTAACATCTTCACCATGGCTACCATGCATTAATAATCATTATCTTATTATCGGTTCATTCAATCCCGTGTTAAAATATCTGGGTATAATGTACTGCACTTTGGTTACTAATGGGTCCTGTTCCACCCATACATGAACTTCGTCCCACAGGATTCAGCTTTTGGGCTGTACATGCCAATTGGCCTTTTCCATAAGTCAGCCATCTTGCGTTAAAAGCGAGGCAACCCGTGTGGAGATATTCTAAAACCTTAACGTGTGGGACCAAAAAATGTTACAGATTACCATCCTTGTGCTTGCGGTCGTGACTCTTGTTCCAAGTATGCGAAACTAGAAGGATTTCTTTGTCTACATTTTTCCTATTCTCCTAATTCCAAGGGTGAAAATCACTCTGTATTTAGATTAAAACAGTTTGAAAAGAATCAGTTCCAGTTAATATTGGAGCGAGTAGGCTTTCGAAGGATTCGTCTAACAGGAGGGAATGGCTTTTCAAATGAACTGTGGAAAGTAAGTCGTTTGCAATTAGAGATGTTTGCTATACGCGCGCAAACTGTCGTTTTTCCCCCGACAAAACTGGTTGGAGTATTTATTTTATGCGTTAAGTAGTTTGCTGTTTAATACCGTGTGTGTATTATTCGGTCATTGATTACTGCACTGCCATAACAAACTTATTGGCATTCAAGAGCGGTGTCGGGTCACGTGAGCAGAATCCGTTACTAGGACCTGACTCGGGCATCTACAGTACCGGTAACCGCGCAAATATGTGGGGAGTGAGTATTACATTTATTGGTGGTTCACAGTACAAAATTCGCTTGATGAGCAGATGCAGTTTCAAAACGTCGTAGAGTCTGGTCTGCGTAGGCATACGGAACGAGATATATTTTATTTACAAATGACCTGGATTACAGCATTCAAAGACATTATCTCTCCTGTTGAAATAATTCGTAGCCTCTTCAACAGATTTTGGTATAGCCACACGTGCGCACAAAATGCACTCAGATCATACCACAAAGGTACTTACGCATGCCTCAAATGCAAAGTTTAAAAGAAGATAGAATTGACACCTTGTGGGCAGAAATGACAGTGGTTTTTATAAGAATGTGGTTTGGTGACATGAAGTAATTCTACAGCTTGTAAATGTACGTGACTGTATTAAAGAAAACGATAACAGGAGATAACAAAAGAACATTAAAAGATGAATGTTGGCGGCATCCTGAGGCAGGAGAGACAGTGTGGAGGCTGTCAAAACCACAAACACACGGCGTGTAATCAATCTGGTCACCTGGTTGTCTTCAAAAGTGTGCCAATTCTGCGGCAGTTCTGGGCCAAAAGTGATCATTTTTCATCTCGTCCCGGTCACATCTTTCAGGCAGTCTTCCTTTTAATTATGGCTGAATTCAAACCGCGAAATTGACACCTCCAGTCTTTGTTCCACTCGTTCTATGTATCATTTGATGGATCCACGCGTAGTACCATGCCAAACTATAGGGAAAGACAGCTCGCCTTAGGGGATATGTTGTCTTGAAAGACATATACGATCCAAGACAAGAGTTTCTTCCTTTTTGTGAAAGAGATGAATATAAATGCTTGTGTCGCTTGATCATTCGACGTAACCCACATTCATGGAGTAAAAAATATATCACAAAAGATTCGCAAAGCATGACACGAATTTTACTAGAAACGCAATAAGGGTAACAGATAATGTCTCTGGCTCGAGACTTTCATGTTCAGGAAAAGTGCT